ACTACACGGACGTCTACAGCTACTGCTGCTGCATCTACAACGTCCTCGTCTCCTACTGATATACAGAGTCTATCAACACTTCTCGACTGGTCATCAAGCACTAAGTACTCAATGACTACACGGACGTCTACAGCTACTGCTGCTGCATCTACAACGTCCTCGTCTCCTACTGATATACAGAGTCTATCAACACTTCTCGACTGGGCATCAAGCAGTAAGTACTCAATGACTACACGGACGTCTACAGCTACTGCTGCTGCATCTAAAACGTCCTCGTCTCCTACTGATATACAGAGTCTATCAACACTTCTCGACTGGGCATCAAGCAGTAAGTACTCAATGACTACACGGACGTCTACAGCTACTGCTGCTGCATCTACAACGTCCTCGTCTCCTACTGATATACAGAGTCTATCAACACTTCTCGACTGGGCATCAAGCAGTAAGTACTCAATGACTACACGGACGTCTACAGCTACTGCTGCTGCATCTAAAACGTCCTCGTCTCCTACTGATATACAGAGTCTATCAACACTTCTCGACTGGGCATCAAGCAGTAAGTACTCAATGACTACACGGACGTCTACTACTGCTGCTGCATCTACAACGTCCTCGTCTCTTACTGATATACAGAGTCTATCAACTCTTCTCGACTGGGCATCAAGCAGTAAGTACTCAATGACTACACGGACGTCTACAGCTACTGCTGCTGCATCTACAACGTCCTCGTCTCCTACTGATATACAGAGTCTATCAACACTTCTCGACTGGGCATCAAGCACTAAGTACTCAATGACTACACCGACGTCTACAGCTACTGCTGCTGCATCTACAACGTCCTCGTCTCCTACTGATATACAGAGTCTATCAACACTTCTCGACTTGGCATCAAGCAGTAACTACTCAATGACTACACCGACGTGTACGGCTACTGCTGCTGCATCTACAACGTCCTCGTCTCCTACTGATATACAGAGTCTATCAACACTTCTCGACTTGGCATCAAGCAGTAAGTACTCAATGACTACACGGACGTGTACAGCTACTGCTGCTGCATCTACCACGTCCTCGTCTCCTACTGATATACAGAGTCTATCAACACTTCTCGACTTGGCATCAAGCAGTAATTACTCAGTGACTACACCGACATGTACAGCTACTTCTGCTGCATCTACAACGTCCTCGTCTCCTACTGATATACAGAGTCTATCAACACTTCTCGACTGGCATCAAGCAGTAAGTACTCAATGACTACACCGACGTCTACAGCTACTGCTGCTGCATCTACAACGTCCTCGTCTCCTACTGATATACAGAGTCTATCAACACTTCTCGACTTGGCATCAAGCAGTAAGTACTCAATGACTACACGGACGTGTACAGCTACTGCTGCTGCATCTAAAACGTCCTCGTCTCCTACTGATATACAGAGTCTATCAACACTTCTCGACTTGACATCAAGCAGTAAGTACTCAATGACTACACGGACGTCTACAGCTACTGCTGCTGCATCTAAAACGTCCTCGTCTCCTACTGATATACAGAGTCTATCAACACTTCTCGACTGGGCATCAAGCAGTAAGTACTCAATGACTACACGGACGTCTACAGCTACTGCTGCTGCATCTACAACGTCCTCGTCTCCTACTGATATACAGAGTCTATCAACACTTCTCGACTGGGCATCAAGCACTAAGTACTCAATGACTACACGGACGTCTACAGCTACTGCTGCTGCATCTAAAACGTCCTCGTCTCCTACTGATATACAGAGTCTATCAACACTTCTCGACTGGGCATCAAGCACTAAGTACTCAATGACTACACGGACGTCTACAGCTACTGCTGCTGCATCTACAACGTCCTCGTCTCCTACTGATATACAGAGTCTATCAACACTTCTCGACTGGGCATCAAGCAGTAAGTACTCAATGACTACACGGACGTCTACAGCTACTGCTGCTGCATCTACAACGTCCTCGTCTCCTACTGATATACAGAGTCTATCAACACTTCTCGACTGGGCATCAAGCACTAAGTACTCAATGACTACACCGACGTCTACAGCTACTGCTGCTGCATCTACAACGTCCTCGTCTCCTACTGATATACAGAGTCTATCAACACTTCTCGACTTGGCATCAAGCAGTAACTACTCAATGACTACACCGACGTGTACGGCTACTGCTGCTGCATCTACAACGTCCTCGTCTCCTACTGATATACAGAGTCTATCAACACTTCTCGACTGGGCATCAAGCAGTAATTACTCAATGACTACACGGACGTCTACAGCTAACTGCTGCTGCATCTACAACGTCCTCGTCTCCTACTGATATACAGAGTCTATCAACACTTCTCGACTGGGCATCAAGCAGTAAGTACTCAATGACTACACCAACGTCTACAGCTACTGCTGCTGCATCTACAACGTCCTCGTCTCCTACTGATATACAGAGTCTATCAACACTTCTCGACTTGGCATCAAGCAGTAAGTACTCAATGACTACGCTGACATCTACAGCTACTGCTGCTGAATTTACAACGTCCTCGTCTCCAACTGAAACACCGAGCCTATCACCACACTTCTCGGCTTTTATTTCTAAATACAAACCAGACTGCGTTTATTGTCCCACATAAGGATCGAAACATTTTTACTGTTGTGTTCAGTAGGTTAACAGCGTGTTCATGGTCCAGCTGAACGTTTTGATGCCTTATTTTGAACTATAGGAATAGAGAAAAGATAGATATGATTGAGGCGAGACTATGTGAAGATACTGAATACGCTTTACGCCGCTTTTAGCAATTTTCCAGCAATATCACGGCTGGGGACACCAGAAATGGGTTTCATGCATTGTCCCCATGTGGGAAATCGAACCCGGGTCTGCGGCCTGTCAAACGAACCCCTGGGGTACCCCTGAACCAAGTCGCATCTTATGTAGTACAAGTCTGGGCACACATGAATCGCTGTTATGTTTATCTATGTACACGCCATTCGCCATCCCGTGGCCTTGTGACCTATGTCCTTCGCTCACGAACAGCAGTAACGAAGAATGTGGCCAACTATTTGTCGCTCACCCGGTAGAACCGTTGCATGTATGTACAATGGTATGTGAATGTCAGCTTTTGGGAATGGGGATCCCATCGAGTTTTGACTGCGTGTCATAGTGATAGAAATATTCCCAAAAATTCAGGATTCTTCAGCTGATTGTCATGTTAACCATAGATGCCATCTTCTATGGAAACTGCGTGTACTCCATTGCCGTGTAGTTCTGCGTCGCCAGTATAACTCGTCAGTATAACCCGTCAGTATAAGTCGTCAGTATAACTCGTCAGTATAACCCGTCAGTATAAGTCGTCAGTATAACCCGTCAGTATAACCCGTCAGTATAACTCGTCAGTATAACCCGTCAGTATAACTCGTCAGTATAACCCGTCAGTATAACTCGTCAGTATAACTCGTCAGTATAACCCGTCAGTATAACTCGTCAGTATAACCCGTCAGTATAACCCGTCAGTATAACTCGTCAGTATAACTCGTCAGTATAACCCGTCAGTATAACTCGTCAGTATAGCTGTTTGGTACCGATGAATCTTGTACTGCAGTAACTTACACTTATACTCGTAACATACAAAAGGCATGTAAATGTACATTTAGCTTAGACGTTCTTGTGCTGTCTTGTGTTGTTTGAAACAGATATGCTCAAATGTGTTGAATAGTATGATGAGGACGTTGGACTTCCAAAAAGTTTCCCATTTGTTATGCACATGACCATGGCAACCCATGCATTAGGATATATGTAATACTTTGTGTGTCATAAGGATGATGTTTCAACTGAAACTAACACGCTCACCCACCGCAGCTTCCACCTGGTAGAACTATTGTCTGAGTTGGATTGCTGATCCTTAGTCTCTCTCACAGCCACTGGACCGCATTATTTTCTTCTTTTTTTTTGTAATAATACTGAAATCAGTTAACAGGAGTCTTGAAACAATGAATGGTAGGACACCAACTGCGAATACAATTTATTTTGTTCACATGTATCAGTAAAAATTTGTTTTTCTATTGTAGATGTATTATTAATTCATATTGGAAATTCTTGAGAGATAGGTTTACCTTTTTTAATTTACATTATAAATAAAAAACGTTGAAAAATCAAAATCGACCAAAACCCTATCAGTTATTACATTTTTCTCTATACCAAATAAAATGAGTTCTGCATATAAACTCATGTTTTATATATGGTCACAGCTATTAGTTATCCAAAGAAGTAACTTATTCCAAAATGTCTTCACTTCATGACACAAACCGCATTAATTCCCCTGCGTCTAGCCCTCTCTGCAATGCTAAAGCAACATATAAAGCAAGTCTAGATTTCCTCAGGTTCAGGTTCTGAATCTCCCTTCTCACTTTGGGCTCCTTTTCAGTTCAAAAGACTTTGTTTCTGCCAATATTATATATTTACAGAGACTAAGCGTTAGTCTAGCCGACTAGATTAGGTGCCTGACTCTCGAGAGTATGGGCTCGAATCCCGGACTGGAATCTTCCTAACAAAAGTACAAGAATCTGTACTTTACTGAGAAAGTGTAATCACATTACATGCGTTACATTTGACCATTTTCTAAATGGCATTGTACTTGGAGAACCGGGTCAGTATGCACTCACCTTCCGTACAAACAAAACAGAGTATTTTGAAATTAAGAATCAGGATGTTATCATGTTTACAGTAGGTGTTGTACGTTAAATTTATCCGTATCTCGTGAAATTCATTGAATGAAATACGTGTAAGAATCAAACTTTCAAATTGTGTCACCAATGTTTCGCAAATGCTCTCTGATAAACACGGCAACTTTAAATCTAAAACCCCAGGTCAATCAATTGTTTTATCGTGTGTATGCGAAAAATGGCGACTTACGACAACACATACCAGCGTTGCCTACCCGCCGCTTATCAAGCAAACCGACGGCGTTCTCGATAACACTATCTCGCGTGAGTCAACAAAATTCAAAATGGCGGGCCAGCAGACAAATCTCATACTCCATGGACTGGGAACGTTGTTGATCGCGACCGCGACGGTTACCTTAATGGTATCTCTGTTCACAGACAGTTGGATACAGTCGCCGGTAAAGGGATCTGGGTTCCAGAAGGCCGGGCTGTGGAAGATCTGTCTGGTCGACTATGTCATACACAGAAATGACCAAAGCCAGGAAGGCTTATATGGGTGTTATAGTTTTGCCGACCCAATTTTCTATGATATTCAGGATTGGCTACACCCAGGTGAGTAAAATTGCATATTTCATAATGTAAATTATTTGAACCCATTTTGCATTAATCAGTAAAATATTTTGCAGTAAACACACTAATATCGATATTTTTTGTAGTTCTGACCAACGTCAGATATCTTAAGTCGTAGTTCCGGTAATCTCACCACTAAAACTGTTTTTACCTTTTATCGTGATGGTACTGGTTATAAAGTCTTCTTTATGATTTGATTTGGTCTTCCGAGCCAAATTAACCCCGTTACAATTTCTTTTATGGTTTGTAATTTTCAGCTGTATATCTAAAGCATAATTATAAACCTTTCTTTTCTGAACTAGTTATTTCGAACCATTGTTGAACCGTTGCCATCACCCTCACTTAGTGTTGTGGACAGTGTTCATAACTGACCTGGCTTGTTTACTTAATGGATAGTCAGGACATAGCGGTTTAGATCGTGTGTTGACTTGAATACACCAATTCATTATTGTGTATATAATGCTGTTATGTGTGATAGTTGCGGTCATAGTCGATAACATTCATTAGGGGATGATCTGCCTGCTCAGAGTGTACTTAACCCGGAAGTGTTTTGAGAGATATCAAAGCATTCATAGATCTCGCAGGATACAAATAAACAATATTCACTATATTCCCTGACAGAGTATGATCGACTTAAAACTGTCTTGTCCAATGATCACAGAATCTAATTGAACGGTGTTTATGTTATATGTCTGAGGTTTGCTATGTGGTAAGGCTACATAAACGTGAACCTACATATCTTCAGAATGCAGCGGGACATTTTCATAGTTTGAATTTTAAAAAAACCCTCTCATATTCCATTCATGTTTGTAAACATTATGTTATTTCATTTACATATTACATATGTTACTGTTTCCGTGCTGTATATTGGTGAATATAACTTTTGTCTATACTTTGTTTGACGACTGTTTCAAGTCAAGAGCGTGTGTCTTTGTTTCAGCATGGCTGAAGGCAGTAAAGGCCCTGTTAGTGGCGGCTCTGTTCTTCAATGTCTTCAACCTGTTCATCTCGGCCTTCTTCCTGATGTCATGGAGGGCATATCTCCTCATCCCGGTCACCGTCCTGGGCAGCTTATCATGTAAGTTCTACCATTCTGGCACATCTCCTTATCAGGTACATTCCACCATTCTGGCAAATCTCCTTACCAGGTAAGTTCCACCATTCTGGCAAATCTCTTTATCAGGTAAGTTCTACCATTCTGGCACATCTCCTTACCAGGTAAGTTCCAACATTCTGGCAAATCTCCTTACCAGGTACGTTCCAACATTCTCACACATCTCCTTACCAGGTAAGTTCCACCATTCTGGCAAATCTCTTTATCAGGTAAGTTCTACCATTCTGGCAAATCTCCTTACCAGGTAAGTTCCAACATTCTCACACATCTCCTTACCAGGTTAGTTCCACCATTCTGGCAAATCTCCCTATCTTGTAAGTTCCACCATTCTGGCAAATCTCCTTATTAGGTAAGTTCCACCATTCTGGCAAATCTCCTTACCAGGTAAGTTCCACCATTCTGGCAAATCTCCTTACCAGGTAAGTTCCACCATTCTGGCAAATCTCCTTATTATGTAAGTTCCACTAACAATCGCTTTTTACAGTTATTTTTGCACAAGGAGGGGTTCACTTCATGATCACGAACAAACACAAGAACGTTTGGTTGGCTTGAGTAACAGATGATAGGTGTTTACACTTACATCATCATCATCATCATCATTATCGTCACCATCATCATCAGTAAAACCTATTAATGAAGGCCTATCACAGAATGGTGCTCTTGTATGATGTATTTGTATGATCATCAAAGAAACTATTAGATGTATAATTATCCATAAAAGCCTACCACAGGATGAGTTAGTAATAGCTATTATGCTGTACACCAACATGATCATCAAAGAAACTATTAGATGTATAATTATCCATAAAAGCCTACCACAGGATGAGTTAGTAATAACTATTATGCTGTACACCAACATGATCATCAAAGAAACTATTAGATGTATAACTATCCATAAACGCCTACCACAGGATGAGTTAGTAATAGCTATTATGCTGTACACCAACATGATCATCAAGGAAACTATTAGATGTATAATTATCCATAAAAGCCTACCACAGGATGAGTTAGTAATAGCTATTATGCTGTACACCAACATGATCATTAAAGAAACTATTAGATGTATAATTATCCATAAAAGCCTACCACAGGATGAGTTAGTAATAGCTATTATGGTGTACACCAACATGATCATCAAAGAAACTATTAGATGTATAATTATCCATAAACGCCTACCACAGGATGAGTTAGTAATAGCTATTATGGTGTACACCAACATGATCATCAAAGAAACTATTAGATTTATAACTATCCATAAACGATAAACGCCTACCACAGGATGAGTTAGTAATAGCTATTATGCTGTACACCAACATGATCATCAAAGAAACTATTAGATGTATAACTTTCACTAAACGCCTACCACAGGATGAGTTAGTAATAGCTATTATGCTGTACACCAAAATGATCATCAAAGAAACTATTAGATGTATAACTATCCATAAACGCCTACCACAGGATGAGTTAGTAATAGCTATTATGGTGTACACCAACATGATCATCAAAGAAACTATTAGATGTATAACTTTCTATAAAAGCCTACCACAGGATGAGTTAGTAATAGCTATTATGCTGTACACCAACATATTATGCTGATATAACATAAAAGCCACCACAGGATGAGTCAGTAAAGCTATTATGAAAACATGATCATCAAAGAAACTATTAGATGTATAACTATCCATAAAAGCCTACCACAGGATGAGTTAGTAATAGCTATTATGGTGTACACCAACATGATCATCAAAGAAACTATTAGATGTATAACTTTCCATAAAAGCCTACCACAGGATGAGTTAGTAATAGCTATTATGCTGTACACCAACATGATCATCAAAGAAACTTTTAGATGTATAATTATCCATAAAAGCCTACCACAGGATGAGTTAGTAATAGCTATTATGCTGTACACCAACATGATCATCAAAGAAACTTTTAGAAGTATAACTTTCCATAAAAGCCTACCACAGGATGAGTTAGTAATAGCTATTATGCTGTACACCAACATGATCATCAAAGAAACTATTAGATGTATAATTATCCATAAAAGCCTACCACAGGGTGAGTTAGTAATAGCTATTATGCAAGTACACCAACATGATCATGAAAGAAATGATGAGCATTAAAGCTTTTGATGAAAGAATATCGAGTAAGTTCATAATAGTTGTGATTTTGTTATAGCTACGTTGTGTTTTGAACTAGGATACACAATCGTTGATAAAACCAGAGACCATATAATAGATTATAATAGATTATAATATTATATGGTCTCTGATAAAACGGACATGTATAAAACCAACTATGAGCATGCTTCCCCTCCCCGACAAGCAAAACGTGCGTTTTTTAATCAGTACAACCCAAGTCATTCATAATACCAGGGATACTCTACAACCTTATAGAGTCTCCCTGATAATACCTTTGACAAAACATGATACTCAGACAGCTCTGAAATGTTTCAAAAAGGATTATTTTGTTCTTGAAAGCTTTCAATGCCATTCGAATATTACGATTTCAAGCGGGAAGCCAATCAAAGACCGTGGTTGAATCTTTATGTGGTGTCTATTTCAGATGTCTTCATATCGTGTGGAACGACCCTCTACAGATTCAGCTCGAACGACCCCTACTGGCTTCCGCTTCCTGATTCCAACCAATTAGACTGGTCCTACTATTTGAGCGTGGCCACTATATTCATCACGGTTGCTGGATCCAGCATCCATGTGATACAGGCCCTGTTGCTGTGTTGTAGCAGGGAAAGGTCAATGAGGAAATCCTAATCAGTGTGCTAACAATACCAACAAGAGGAACCGGTGTTGTCTACAGATAGTCAGGGCTCAGTGCCCACTTGCTCAAAGCGATCATAGGGCTATAACTCCCGTTAGTCCACGTTAGAGTATGGCAGTTACCATCGTCGTAGCGCTAAGATTGCTGTGTGCATCTTATGATCGTAATTTAACATAGACTTACGACTGTCGTAGCGCTACGATCGCTTGGAGGAACGGGGCCAGGGCCTAGATTTTCAGAGCTAAGACAGTCGTAAGTTAATGTTATTGTATGGCACTTACGACTATCTTAGCGCTAAGAGAGCTTCGAAAATCTAGGCCCTGATTCACTAAGCGATCGTAGCTCAATGAGTGTTAATATATGGCAGGTATGATCACTTCAGCGCTACAATAACTTTGTGGACCTGAACCAAGGGGCCCGTTTCACAAAGCGACTGTCGTAAGTCTATGTTAAAATATGGGAGATACGATCCCCATAGCTCTAAGGTCGCTTTGTATAACGACACCCATGACATTAGTGGAGATCATTAATACCTGGAACCTCGTACAGTCATCCTTAACATATCACGACAGGAGTTATCCTGTTTTTGCTGAATAATTATGTGTCATCGAAATACTATTAATATAAAAGGGAAAAGGTCCAGAAAACCTCTTAGTGAATAACAGTACAACAGAACGCTGCTTGCCGTAGAACTGTCCCCAAACGTCGTCCTCAATGTCGAACACTGGAAGTCGTAACTGTAGATGCAGAAAAGTGAAGGTCGTCACCATTGGTGCGCATAGTCACTGCAGGTGCTAAGCGGACACGTTCGTATTATGCTAGTTACATGTTTTTCCCAGCGTGTATTTGATACCTCTAATGCGACATGATGCGCTTGGCACAAACATCACCGTCTGTTCAATCGCAGACTGATTCAGTTACAAACATACTTTCTCGTGTCAAGTCGTGATTTCGGATATATTGCCTGTATGAATGTAGTCCTGAACATAGTATATGATATACAGCACGGTCACATGCCACGTGCCGTGTACGGGGTTCAAGGGTAAACCACATAATTACAAAGATATTAAGAGGTACGACCAATTGAATACATTGTATATATAATTTTGATAGCAACAAATAAACCCATTTAAATTGAAAGGAGTCCCAGTCAGATGTGAAATTCAGAACCTGGGGGAATCTAGACTTGCTTGATTTGGGATTTAGCATTGCAGAGAGGGCAAGGCGGTGGGGAAAATAATGTGGTTCAGGGACTGTGAGACAGTTTACCAATTGACCCTAAGAGCTTGTTCTGTTTACAATCAACCACGTCGAATGAAGCAAGCCTTTCATTCCTCTAATTTTAGACAGATTCTATGCATGCGATTTGGAGATCTGTGTTCCCTTTTTATCAGACTTGTCATTGCTCCTCTTTGCATCGCACGCAGTTTCATCTATAACATGTTCACTGCAATCTGTTGACAAGTGGGAATAAACAAAGGATTCTATGAATATTGATACTTCTTACACTCCACTGAAATAATCAAAGTATATACTTATTGATATCATTTGAAATTCAACAACCTCAACTTTCACTCAGTGTATTGACAATTTCCATATCGTTTATCATTGAGAATTTTCCCATCGACCATATTTTCGCTTTATCGATATTGTAGTCAACAATACCCTTGGAATCCAGTGGGTTGCTGAATGTATTCAAATCAATTAGTGTTCAAATCAAATCGTCAAAACGGACCCCACAGTATATCACAATGAAATCATCGGTTCTTTCAAAGACTGACTGACTGACTCAGTTTAGTTTTACGTCGCTTTTAGCAATATTCCAGCAATATCACGGCGGGGGACAACAGAAATGGGCTTAACACATTGTGCCCATGTGGGGAATCGAACCCGGGTCTTCGGCGTGACGAGCCAACGCTTTAACCACTAGGCTACCCCAACGCCCCTCTTTCAAAGAAAACGTCAGGTTGTATATTGAATTGATATACAGTGTCATTATGACGGCAAGTGGTTACATAGATACCGTTATCCCCGATAATTCTAGGGATTCAGGGATATTTACATTCTTTAAAAGAGAAATGGTAAGTGCATAAGTGTAAAAGTTTTGTAATAGTTTGATATGTGTGGCAATTTTACGTTCATCAAGGGTGAGGGGTGACTGGTTTCGTCGCGCCCATATATAGTCTAAATATTTCTCACCATGTGATCGTCGTTTGATCATAGTGTTTTAAATCAGAACATGTGATTGTTTGGTATTTGTTTTGAGACTTACTAAAATGTTATTGTATTAAGAACACTGGTTCTTTTTTAAATTACTTTATGTAAAACTAACATATTTTGACAAGTTCGACCTGTATCACCAACGAGTGCCTTGTAATGTGAAAATATGTTTGTAGAGGTAAAACTGAGAAAAGTAGTGTATACAGCCGGGTTATCATAAAGTAATGCCCCACAACTTGTTCGTTGTATCGTCACATGGTATTCAGTGTGACGATCTATTACAAATGCTTAAGTTAAGTTTCATGACATGTGTTCATCATCTCTGTGTTCATACTTTGAACACAAATGTCAAGATTTGTCAATAGTTTCCATTGATTTTAAGATTTATTTTAAACATAGATCAACAATAGATCGCATAAGACAAGGACTGGCAAGGCTGGAGCCTAGACATGGTGATCCATAAGTGAGAGTGTCGTATTATCGATAACATCAACTGAAAGGTTCTCAAAGTTTATTCGAAAAAAAGATAATTTATAAAATTAAATTGTATACGAATGTTTTAGCTTATTTTCCTATATCATCTGTTTTTACAATATTTACACTTTGATATGTATATATAGTGCCGTATGTGTCGCAGTTGTTATGTGTCTAAAATCAGAACATATATTGTGTTCACTATGGAGACAGACTGAGAGTTACAAAATGTCTTCTCACTTTGTTTTCGTATTCTATCGTTATTTGGTGCGAGGAAATCGACTAGCACTTGGCATGTGTTGTTCTGTGTAAGTCGATGATATTTGTGTGTTGGTTCTTGCTAAGAATGACCATAAATAGTGTTGTGGTAGAAACGTTGTTGGTTTTAGTTACTATATGTTAAAATGAGAACTAAACTTGAGACAAGTTTTAAACATGCAAATTGTATCACTATGAAAATGTGATGATCGCGATGAGAAAATAAGTTTCTGAAAGCAGGTGAGTGGATATAGTTCTATGTCGCTTTTAGCAATATTCCAGCAATATCACGGCGGGGACACCAGAAATGGGCTTCACACATTTTACTCATGTGGGGAATCGAACCCTGCTCTCCGGGGTGATAAGCAAACGCATTAACCACTAGGCTTCCCCGTCGCCCATCTGGAAGCACGAGATAACATTAAAACCATCTGCTGACATGAACATCTAGTTGATTGTTGTTTAACATTCTGATCAAATTTCATTTGTAAATATAACACTATCATCAGTCAATAAATAAATTTGTCTAGAATTATCGTCTTGTGCAAGTTTGTTTTCAGCATCGTTATCTGTGGACTACATTTAGGTCAAGCAATATCGCATCTCCATGTTGGCTACCATTGTCAGTTGTATCTGAGTGACTAGGTTTCACTACATCCATGATGATGTGGAATGTTGAAATCGTGGTTTACATATTTCCAATCACACGAGTGAGTAAATTTAGTTTTACACCGCTTTTAGCAATATCCCAGCAATATCACGGCGGGGGGACACCAGAAATCAGCTTCACACCTTGTACCCATGTGGGGAATCGAACCCGGGTCTTTCACCTGACGAGCGAACGCTTTAACCACTAGGCTACCCTACCCCCTTCCTGGCTGGATAAATTGTCACAGTACTCTGAACTAGAACTCTATCGGTCAATAAAAGCTAATGTTTTCTTTGAAAGCTATTTATCCAAAATAACTGTTAAAGTGTATCGATTGGCAATGTCTTCCATGAGATGTTCCGGTCATAGCCTAATGATAGAGAAAGGGTGACTGTGTCCTCTGTATTATTCCAACAAGTGAGTCAGAATATCATTTCTCTGTGGAATGCCCTTTTACGGAGATCTCAGGAAAAGCCTGTTACCAAAATATTTGTATAATTGTCCAACATTACACAAGTTCCATGCTGTACTCTCCACTGTAGTCGGGAAACATATATCCCTTGCATTAAAGAAAAGACACAAATTTCTTGCACTAAACATCAGGCCCTGAAGAATGTGACATATTCATTTTAATGTTGAATGTTCGACTGGCGCTCCCATCAGAAAAGCTATGTTATGTATAGAGCCTTATTGTATAAGGTGGCCCCATAACCGAATAATATCGTTCACTAGGCTACCCTACTGCCCCGAATGTGGCACCCACTACCAGTTAATCCTGAATCGACCAAGGGTGGCAACTCTGACAAGAACATGCGTATGTGTTGGTCTCGTATCGTTCTGAAAGGTACAATTGACTGTGTTCGACATTGTACCTCTATAAATGAGAGCACGGATGTCATCTGTCGGTAATAAAATACTGTTCATTGTCTTGTCAGCATTTTTCAGCTTTTAGTGACACTCGCTTCAAGAAATGATTGTATCCCAACATGAAAAACAAAACAAATAATGATCCAGTTAATATTTTATTGTAAAGGATTTTCATCTTACAAAAATAGGTATGATTACAGAAATAACGAAATGATATATACATCGACAGGGTAATGGGTGAAGCACGATAGGGTAGGCATGCAGATCAGTATCTTGAAATGCTCCTTGAATTTTCAGGGAAGAAATGGTCCTTTTAAACTTCAAAGTGGCATTATCTGTTAGGCCATAATCACCATTTTTCCATAGTAATATAACATACAAAGGGCACAAGACGTATGTTCACAAATTATTCACAAAGATCATTATGTACTATTTACAAAGTTCCTGGAAATTATTTTGAGATACAATGGTTAATGAGGAAAGAGTTACTTTGCCTAATCTTCTGAACTGAAGACCTTATCAAACGTACTTGTGTGAAAAAGTAAAACTAATCTTCAGAACATCCAAACAATATTTTATTGTGAAACAATTTTTCTTGTTTATGAAAGCTGAATATTGCAACGTCTGTGACATTGAATTAGAAAACTGAAGCATTGAGGTAAGGGGCAGATGGATTATGCTGATGGACACCAGGGGGCTCTGGCTGTTTCAGGCCAGGCTTCCTCCATTCTCGGAATCTTAGTCGTTAACCGATCAATAGGTCAGTCACTAGGTAGTAGCGATGACACTCATCCATAACGTTAGTCTTTTTATCTCAGATTAAAGAGAGCCTTACAGAATAACTAGAAACAATGCTATAATCAATGTTACACAATTGCAGTTAAGCTATTTGTAACTAAAACTAAAAAATTACAATTTCTTGGAATGGTATGTACAATGATACATTTTCTATTCTGCGATGAATGATGAGATATTATACAATGTTACAAAATGATCCACATATATATGGAAAAGCGTCCTAACCAAAACGTAAATCCAAAAATCATAAAAATTCCTCCTCCTAAACAATGTACTCAAAACCTTATAATCTTATTACTGTAATGACATAATTTCATATTTCTTATGGATATTGCCTGTAGTATCCACACGTCTGCTGCCTTGGCAGATGTTGGGAAGCTTAGGTACATAACTGTGTACAGGGCCTTGTTAGAATTGCTTCCCTCTGTTAATACAATTATATTCTAACTGACCCTACTCCTGCTTACAAAATGAAATATCCGTCAGACTGGGAGCTTCACTTTATGTCCTGAGTGTCAGCCATTTCTACAGAGTAGACACTGTGCTCAGATACTTGACATAAACACTACATAAAAATGCGACTGACCTCACTCTTGAAAAAGATTTGCCTGAGTGAGATTAATATTTCTGCATCCAAATATTTATGATCTAAATTGTCCATAAACGGATCTATGAATATGCAAACATGATATATATTCAAAACCTGCACATTCACTGATATGATTTGTTGAAATGAGCTGCCTTTATGGGTAATATGATTTCAAAGGCCCTGATATCAGATCAAGAACAATCAAAATATAGAAAACGACTGATTATTCCATTTCTATCTCAGTCCTTGATTTCACTGAAAACAGACAACTGTACAAGAGTGTGGATTAGCTTATTGGTCACACTCAAAACAACAGACTACAATGACATGGTGTGAGGGTATTGTTACATATATCTGCTTCAACAGTCAACGTCTGCTCAGGCAGTTCCTGTCATCTGCTCCTGCACTCTGTGTCGTCTGCTTCTTTAGTATCTAGTTGCAGGCTTGGACGTGAGAGACATGTTCTGTCTTCGGGCCTTGTTGTTTTCTTCCTGGTTCAGTCTCATCCACTCGACCAGCAGACACATTCCAGCAAACAGGGCGAAAAACGCAGACAGGACGGCAAAACCAAATGACCAGGAAAGGTAGTTTGAATCCGGGTGAGGCAGCCACTGGCGATCAGTATCCGCCTTGATACCGAACAGGATGACACTGATACCAATAAAGGTACCTGAAAGAGGCCAAGAGTATAATTATATATTCCTGCAGTAACACAACAAAAGAGATAACTTCTTATTCTTGTTCATGTTTCACTGCCTGTTATACAGACCTCGATCAGAGGACTTATTATGTTACTTCTTATACATTAGCACAAGTGAATAAGAATATTAATGTAGGTTGGTTGCTGTTTAACCCCACTCTGCAATATTCCAGCTATATGGCAGCTGTCTGTATATAATCAAGTCAGGACCATTCAGTAATGAACAGCATGAGCATCAATCTACACAGTTGGGATACAACTGACATGTGCCAACCAAGTCAGCGAGTCTGGCCACCCTCACCCATGACAAGCATGGGTTACTGAAACAAATAAATCTATCCCAGATCTTCATGGGTAATTAATAGAAGTACCTCATTTTTATCAAATACCTACCACTAAAAGTAGCACCTGGTTTTTGTGGCTTTATTTGAGGTATGTGACAGACACATTAAAGGGCACATATACTGCAGATGTTTAAGTGGGGACATTATACGTTGCTCACTGGTCTCAAGGGGGACATGGGCTGATGTACCCTCGATGATTGTTTATGTACCCTGAACCCATGGGCCCCGAGGGACCAGTGAACAACGCATTTATCTTGCCGAACACCTAAATGGTAATTTTGAAATGTTTGAAGCACGGGTATCGGATCATAGTATGGACGACAAGAAAAACAAATTTAGAGTTGTCTCCCTTCCATTGATTTGCATTCGCAAAACATTGGTTATTTCTGTACATCATATGTTATTCAATGTTATTCGAGATAAAGAATTACTGCTACGAAGTACCAAATGAGTTCGGAGGTCCCAGCGGGGTACATAGAAAATGTTACTTGCTTGTAAGCAGGGTACATTGAAAATAATATAAGAGCGCTCAACCTATCAGGAAACGACATTTATGTGTGAGGCAAGATAATCCTGACTGTGGGTGAGTGAGTGAGTGAGAGTAACTCATCATCAGTGAAATAGTTCATTCTGTATACTCTACAAGTATTGATGGCCATGAGAAGTGTATGGTTTCCTTGCTCCAATACGGCAATGGGGGTTATGTCTTGGTTTTCTAACTGCCACCAAGCACTGATTCAAACCTGTTCAACACTGAAGCAAAATACCCACCTGCTGTGAAGTTGAAGATGAAGCTGAACATGACATATCGTTTCTCCTTGTTTGCCGGGCAGCACTTGACGAAGTACATGATGACAAAGACAAGGCACACCATCATAATCATCAGCGTCAGCACCATCAGCACTTGGATGGCAAGGAGCCATGCTGAAACAGAGGCAAGTAGGTAAATACTGGCATCTACTTACAAAACAACGAATGCTTCATATGAATACAAACATGCTGACACATAGAAATCACTAAAATGACTGCAGCCAAATTATAAGTAAGGAAGTTAAGGAATTTCAACATGACAAGCACATCCTCTCGTTTCACTCAAAGGGGATACATCATGTTCTTCCAATATCTGGGCTCAGCTCCCAAACAGACTGCTGCATGATAGTTGTTACACTAGGAGTGATTTGTTGTGAGTCACAGTCTAGGGCTGTGTTAAAAGCTTTCTCAGGGTTACACAAGTCCAAACTCTCAAACTTAATTCAGATCAAGCATCAAGGTTGCATTGTGGAGAAACTGATTCTTAGGACACTTTCAATTAATAGGTTGTGCTACCTTTGCACAAAGGTAACTACAAGGACTCAACTTTTCAAAAGGTTGGTTGGTTTGTTGTTAAACGCTGCACTCAGCAATATTCCAGCTATATAGCGGTGGTCAGTAAATAATTGAGTCTGGACCAGACAATTGGGATACGATGATTTGTGTCAACCAAGTCAGCGAGCCTGACCACCCGACCCAGTTTGTCGCCTCTTATTACAAGTATGGTTTGCTGAAGACACATTCTAACACGGTTCTTCACGGGTGACTAAAACATAAGGCATGATCTGAGAGGCTTTTAACGATTCAGAGTATTGTATTAGGACATCTGACAAAGGTAAGTCAGGCTCAAACACTTTATACAGATAATTTGCAGGTTTTAGGGTCAGCTTATCTACTCAAATCTCAGCCGTTCCAGTTACACACACACAGTGACAAGCCTGTACATAAATATGTATAACCCAGTCTTGAATCGTAAACATATGCATGGAAACGTTTGTATACAGATTACACAATTGCGATCTAAGCAATTGGGATGTGATGATGTGTGTCAACCAAGTCAGCAATCCTGACCACCCGATCCTGTTAGTCGCCTCATCCAACACGCATGGGTTACTGGAGACCAATTCTAATTCGGATCTTCACAGGTCTTTTCAAAAAGGTTTCCAGGTCACCATTCCAAGAGTAACATAAACATCTGAACTACCTACTTAAAATTCTTAAAATAAGATTCCATAAACCTTCTCTTTCTTTCATGTTCATGTCACCATGGTCCAGTGTCACATTACCAACAGACCGCAGATTGAGTCAGAAACTGATGTCATCTTGACATACTTGTACATGCTAAATTTCCACATAAACTTAAAAAATTACTGCAAAATGAGACAGGCTGGAAAACAGAAGGTGAACCTCTGAGTGAGAATGTTACAACACTTTTAGCAGTATTCCAGCAATATCACAGGACACCAGAAAAGGGCTTCACACATTGTCCTCACGCAGGGAATCATACACCTTAATTGTGATAAGTGCCTTCCATAACTATTAGGCTACCCCACCGCCCCTGTGAACGTCTGAGAGTGAATGAGTGACTTACTTTGTTTTAATGCAACAGTTAAATCATGGCGTGTCTGCATAACGTTGAGGAAAGCTCCACATTACGTAACATACAAGTAGTGCTAACAAGCCAATAAGCCAACTCCGGGTGATCATAGGTTTATGGTGTGCTCGAGGGAAACAAAGTCTGCAGTGCTTTTGACAGCTTCGTAACACACGAATTCAAATCTTCTGAGAGTGAGTGAGTGAGTTTAGTTCTACACCGCTTTTAGATATATTCCAGCAGCATTAGGACGGGGGACACCTGAAATGGGCTTCACACATTTTACCATTGTGGGGAATCGAACCCCGGTTTTCAACGTGAAGAGCAAACACTTTAACCACTAGGCTATGCCACCACCCCAAATCTTCTGAGAAAGCACATTTGTTCGCAATTTGAGAATTGCATTGGTACTTCTGTAAAGGTAATTTGTTATGCTTCACTGAACTTTCATGCAAATGCATAGCTTGTAACTTCTGATGATCTTTGCTTTCATTTGTTGATTGGTCTTGAACTTTTGCCTAACATTCAAGTTTCAAATCCACTTAGCTTAATCACAATTCACTGTTTTCAAAGTTTTCAAATTAAATTTATCATTGGAAAATCAGCATTTTAAGTAACGTTTTACTTACTCTTGGTTGGCAGGATTTAAAAACACTGTTTTTGATTATATTAAATCACATTTCAATTTCTATAGACTTCGGGTTCATACATTGTCTGTTTTCTGTACAAAAAATAAGTCTGACCCAGAGAGAATGCTGTGAATTCAATCTTTAGGTGTTAAATGGTATAGTTACAGCCGGCCCCTACTGTATTTGCTTGCAAGTTTTAAATGCAACAAATTGCATTCCCAACACAACAAAAATGCCTGATCTGTCCTATCTAAGTAAAATGTCTGGTTTCTTGTCAGGATCCACTTCTGGTCTAGATGTGCTTTATAACAAGCCAAGAGGCTCTTGTTTGTTTATCTTAAGTCTAAACACGTGACATGAAAGTGTCTAATGTTCTTATCTAAACAACCCAGATAAATTAACAGATGGAGGCATCCACTTCCCATTTGACATTTATCACCGACATGTAAAATAGCAGGGGTGGGGGTGGGGTGGGGCACTTTCTGCTGGTCCTCCTTACCATTGCAAGGCTGATTGCAGTAATTACTAGTACAGGATCTATGTTGAAACGTCGCCTATACAGAATAAGAAGTTTTATATCCATAAAATTGTCCTCATTCTTCATCTCAGCTTCTAGAATGCCAATCAAAGAGGTAGTACAGTAATTATTATACAATACCGGAGAAATGGACGATATTTGTTAAATATATACGAACAACATCCACAAAATGTTTTGAAAACGTGTAAAAACACAAATTCAAAACGTTTCTGTAAACATCAGTTTTTCTCCAGTTTTACAACAGATATGGCGCATGCATATGTTTTAACTAAATCTGCAATAATAATTAGTTTTTACCTGGATTTTCGTCTAAACAAAACATAGGCTTCTTTATCCTAAAACCGGAAATGGTCTTCATTATGCGATCGATATTCTGAATACAACTCAGGTGCACAGCATTTTTTGAAACTGACGCGCGGTACATCCAAATACATATCCCTTATCCCATTTACAACATATCGTCTAGTAGCTCTTCAATATCGACTTGAATCCTCTGAGTTCTTCCGTCGAGACACGAACTGTCAGTGTCGCCATTTTGTTTATAGACATGACCCTGCATCGGCTAGCACCAGGTGTGATCAAGCAGGTGTAATGAGAAAGGTGGAGAAACAAACAAACGAAAAATACAATGTCATCAGCATGAAACACTTACCAGGATTTAGAAATTCGTATATACTTCTGTATTCGAACGACAGTAAACTGTGACAACCATTGTATCGTTTCCCGAGACTGTCTTTTTCATTGACATAGTTGTTGAAACACGCCTCCCATATCCCCAACTTTCCGAAACCCGTCCTTCTTTCCTGTAACGATTCTAACCAGTTCGGGGTACACATAGAAATGATCAAAAACAGAAGTCCCAGGCTTGTCAGTATTAATCCAATAATCGCTATTTTCGTCCGGCCTCGCGACGCCATCTTGATTAGTTCAAACCTGATGGCGACAATCTACCTGGGCGAAACCACTGCTGTTCGGGGGCGCTCAGGTGGGGCAGGTATGACTCAGCGGCCATGTCGACATTACTAATGCGACTCCACGGCTGTAAACTGGATATGGCGAACGTTTTATTACATGTACACATATTGACCTGAAATTATACCGGAATAAATCCAGATAAACGTATGTTCGCTAAATACTCGCCCCTAACAGCCATTTCCTAAGTATTTGTTATTCCATGACGTAAACTTTCACAACTGACAATAAAAAGTGAAATCGACATGGAAAATTAAAGTTTCGTGGCTGCTATACCTCGCCTTCCAATTATTCTTTGTAATTTATATACATTGTCTTCACCTACAGTAGTGAGTGAGTGAGTGAGTTTAGTTTAATGTCGCAGTCAGCAATATTCAAGCTATACAGGGGGCGGTCTGTAAATAATCGAGACTGGACCAGACAATCAACACCATGAGCATCGATCTAGGCAACTGGGATCACTTACAGTACATATTAGCTTTATTTCCACGTACGTGATTCATAACCTGACATGCGAACACACGTGCGGGGACTCAATGTGAATGCACTTCCACAAGACTAATTGTTTTAATCAGGGCATGTTGGAAATGAGCGAGCTTATACCGATCATAGCGATATCACTACGGGAACACCAGATATGGGCCTCACACATTAAATATGCATGGGGAGTCGAACGTTTTGAAAGGGTTTTGATTGTGTCTAATGACAGTTGCTTGTATTTGTATATAACTTTCACTGTAAACCAGCGAATACAAGTATTGTTTTCCCCCGAAGTGAATACATTTAATACAAGTTACCTGAGTGTGAGTCTGTTGTTTAACGGCGCCCTGATCAATATTCGATCTGGACCAGACACACCAGTGACTTATGTTGCGGGCGACGATCCCTGTGGTCCGGTTAAAACCACCTATCGAGTCTGACCACCCAACCGACATGAGTGAGTGAGTGAGCGAGTGTATAGTTTGACGCCGCACTCAGCAATATTCCAGCTATATGGCGGCGGTCTGTAAATAATCGAGTCTGGACCAGACAATCCAGTGATCAACAGCATGAGCATCGATCTGCGCAATTGGGAACCGATGACATGCGTCAACCAAGTCGGCGAGCCTGACCACCCGATCCCGTTAGTCGCCTCTTACGACAAGCATGGGTTACTGAAGGTTCATTCTAACCCGGACCTTCACGGGTACGAACCGACATGATCGCCTCTTACGACCTACTCTGACCAAGGTGCCGCTGTACAAACAACATTAGCGCTGCGATGATCGTCTATGCTTAAGTATGGTAGTTAAGCACCTGAGCGCTGAGATCCCTTTGTAACACGACAGCCAAGAATCCCATACGCCGCGTTTGATATGAGTATGTAAGGATTTACGCCGCTTGGCGCAAGTATTCCAGCAAAATCACCGCGAGGGACACCAGAAGTGGGCTTCACATATTGTACCCATGTGGGAAATCGAACTCGGGTCCTCGGCGTGATTAGCGGACATTTGCGAAAAGTGCACATCTCTGGTAGTTTTAGTGAGTTTAGTTTTACGCCGCACTCAGCCATATTCCAGCCATATGGCGGGAGATTTCTAGTAGAAATTATAGCTACCTATTCATTACTATATGCTAAATATACGAAAGTACTACATTTTCTAAAATACACGTTATGGTGTATGGGAAGGAGAGAGTGGCAAGGGAATGAACATTCCAGCGTTAAACTGTTCCATGGGTTATTGTTCACTACCCTACATGGACACGGGTGGGGGGTAGCCTAGTGGAGATCGTCACGTGGGAGACCCAGGTTCCATGGCTCACATGTGTACCACGAGTGAAACACCTTCCTAGTGTCCCCCACCCTGACGTTGCTTGTATTTTGCGTAAAACCAAACCCACTCTCCGGATAAAATCCCTTTATACCAAAATCATAAATACGTCCTGTCATGGCGTAGACTACTAACTGTGTGGACATCTCGGGATCAGCCGTTATACAAGTATGATACAGATGGACAACATCAATAACAAAAGAACTTCATGATTGTGATTGCATATTTGTCCCCGACGAAACCAAGAGAAAATCACGAGTCGCAAACAGCCGGCTTCCTTAACTGTTACATTAAGTTGGTTTGCAACACTTTATTATGAGCAGTTTTCAGTTCGCGCACACGTAATGTCATAAATACAAATGTGTATGTCTGTGAACAGACCAGCAAGGCTCAGCATTGTAAACAGCATTCCACGTTATGCAAGAGCTGATGTGAGTGCGAGCCATCACGTCAGGTGTGTTTGTCAGTGGGAACACCTGGACGTCACCACGGAATGCTCCCCGTGTTTACAGTGGGAAGTTTACATGCACACATGTGAATGGCAAACGGCGAAGATGTCACAAACAATTATGCTATGTTCACAAACTGCTTAGGAAAGACGGATAGTGTTAGCTATTCTTTGCGCTTCAAAATCGTTTACTTTTACTGATACCATAAACCCTCAGTTTGCAGTTAGTTAAATTATGATGATATTTTGACATTATAGCTAAAATACATGGAATTATCATGAAACGGCCCTCCCATTATCAGAAATTTGCGGGCCGCTGCAAATGATATTGGACCGCTCAACCTTAACGACGGGCCAATATCAGTTCTGTCATAGTGGGTGCGTGGGACATTGGCTTTGGACTGGCAGATATTCTGGGTCAAACAAGTCAAAGCAACCCGAATTCCCGCTTAAAATAGCGGTAATATTGGCTTTGTTGCTGGTGCTAACCTTAACAATTGCACTATTATCGTTGTTGTTTGATCAAAACCGAACACTGAGATAGTTTGACATGTTGCAGGTTATGGTCTTGTCAAAGGCCAAGGTCGAATATCGTCACTTTCTGTTGTGATGTCACTTGAACTGTTCGATGACGTAATTGCATTCGGGCAGTCAACCCCGTCAGAAGTTGGTTTTGAGTAAACTTACAGTCAAAATCCTTCATTGTTTCCTTTTTCTTTTCAACACAAATTCCATGTATTTTAGCAATAATAACGGTAATGCTATTTTTAAGGGCATTATCATTTGCAGAAGTCCTCGGTCTTTTTCAACTGCAGTTAATGGAAGACCTCGGGCTTCTGCAAATGATAACGCCCTGAAAATTAGCATTACTCTTATAATAGCAACCCTATGTTGTGAATATAAGCATTTCGATTTTGGGTTGGACTAAGCACATCTGTCTATGACCGTGCAAGCGACCAAAAGGCACAATAACTTGCAAGTGTTACTAAAGAAACGTCAGCCACACTTCCTACTAAGTTCTACTGACTGACTGAGGTTTGGTTTTACGCCGCTTTTAGTAATATTCCAGCAATATCACGGCGGGGGACACCAGAAATGGGTTTGACACATTGTACCCATGTGGGGACTTGAACCTGGGTCTTCGGCGTGACAAGCCAACGCTTTAACCACTAGGCTACCCCACCATCCCACTAAGTTCTACATCCATACCTAGTGCATGCTGTGGCATGTTTCATTCCACTTTTATCGTAGTGCCAGCTGCCATAGTGCTAGCTGTACCTTTTTTAACCAGAGGCATGACAATACAGTGTTTCTGTAATAAATTGGCAGATGAAAACAATGCCTCAAACACTAGAAATTTCAAGGACTTCCATGTATTCACAGAAACTGTTAAAATATAGCTTAGAATATTTCAAATGATTATCTAGGTTCCTTGGGACCGAACAAGCGTTTGTTGCACCAGGCGTTTGTCTTCATGAGAATCTGCTTCTGTTTCTGTCGAAGACCCAAAAGAACCTTCATCACCCATTTGGAAATTTACACGACATTCCAGGGACTCTTGGCGCCAGCACTCCTTTTTTGGTCTGAATGTGGTGATTCTGAGTGATGATAATTGCCCCGTACATCTTGCTGGTCACCCTGTGGGAATTCTTGGAGAGGATAATTGCCCTGTACACCTTGCTGGTCATCCTGTGGGGATTTTGAGTGATGATAACTGCCCTGTACATGTTGCTGGTCTCCCTGTGGGAATCCCGAGTGATGATAATTGCCCTGTACATGTTGCTGGTCTCCCTGTGGGGATTCTTTGAGACAATAGGTGCGACTTACATCTTGATGCAGAGCTAAATGAGCATTGAATTGGATCACTTTTTGTCATTGTGCACCCACCTACCACGACCACATGGATCATTGGATCATGCTATGAACCTCAAGTGTGTCTGGCAGGCCAGGGTAGAGTACAACATCATGTCAAAATAAAACAACATTCACACACCTACCAAATTCATATTTAACATAGTTGTGGGAACAGATAAATAACAACAAAAACCTAAACTGCCAACTTATAGCAATCTCACTTGGGGTATGCTTTGATCAGAAATAATTATGATCATGTAGTACCTTCTTATTTGTTATGGCAGGTTTCACTATTTTCAGTAGGAGCAACTCATATAATGTAAATACACATATTATGTGACTGTGTGTGTGTGTGTGGATGGGTGGGTGGTTGTAATAATGCCTGCCAAACAGATCACTTACCATGGTACTAGGAGCATGGCTACCTTTGGACGTTTAAGGGTCATCAGGACAACATTTGCTAAATTAGTAAATAGTAACCCGAAAGTGTCTGATAGTAAAGGGTGAGTGAGTTTTACACCGCTTTTAGCAATATTTCAGCAATATCACAGCAGGGGACACCAGAAATGGGCTTCACACATTGTACCAACGTGGGGAATCGAACCCAGGTCTTCAGTGTGATGAGCGGATGCTTTAACCACTAGACTACCCCACCCACCCTGGAGTGACATGGTTCCTGCTTGAGTTAATGTAGAAATGCTGTGACGAAGTGAACAGATTTTTCAACAGGGCCCTTATTCTCGAAACGTTCGTAGCCCTAAGAATTCTTACCTTTGATCGTAGCCAATGTGTTAAGAATGGGCTTAAGAAGTTCGTAGGGCTACGAACGTTTCGAGAATAGCTAGCTAGACCTAAAGTACTAACACTCACTGATCTCTAAAGTGGTTTCACAAAAGTGAAATCAGAGGCTGATCCCCTTTGTGGGTCTACGGGGTATTCGAGACTCAGTGGGGTATTCGAGACGCAACGATTCTTATATTATACGTTTAAGATAACAAGAATCAGAAATTTAACTTCAGATTGCACCCGTTACTTTATGGTCTTGAGACTTGTGTCAAGAGGTATTCGTGTTTTAGGGGTGAGCACTGAAAATCAGGTACCACTGAAGCAGCGGAGGAGGGATAGGCACCCTCAATATATAGCATATGGCATTTTAGAAATAACTTCAATAAACAAGTAAACTTGTACACACGGGTGCTCTATCCCCTACTTCCGGTTCGCCATGTTATTTTCACCTGTTCCACACCTGACAATAACAAACACCTGAAATTAACCTCACAGCGTTACATAGATAGGGATACTTACGTGGGTTCAACCAGGACCACACTGGGCGATATTCAAAAGAGAATATCCACCAGCAACCGTCGTATGTCTTGCCGAGATAGTCCTTGTAATAGCTCCACTGTTTGAAACATACTTCCCACAGGCCCATTTTGACAAACTGGCGTTCGGTGTATTTGTTATAATGCTCGATCCAGTTTGGGCTGGAGAAGCCGACCATGAAACAGACAAACGTGATGACTGTGAATATCAGCCCGAAAAGCGACACCAAGGATTTCACCCTGTGTGTCGCTGATATCTTCGCCTTCTCGTCGTCCGCCATTTTGTTTGACGCTTGGTAGGAATTTCAAAGCGGTGACACTATAATCAAGGTGAGGGGAAGAGTCGATCACCGGCAAAAGGGATGTCAGGTTAAAGGTGTGTAACTTTCTTCTGACCAATGGCGACGGGACAGTCCATGTGTGGTGGGGCGAGAGGATGTTCGCCTGTTGAAAACGAAAACTATTCCAATATCAAAATCGTTTATCAAATTTCACGGCTATACTTTCAAATCATGATTAAGAATACATTGTATTTTTAATGCCGAATGTAATGGGATGCATGTCATCTATATTTTAAGAAATATACATTTCAAAAGTGAACCATACATATTATCTATATAGGTTCTTCACTCACGTTGTAACCTAGGGTGAAATTATGTCATTGTAAAAGGTTTAATCAAATAACATTAGCAGTATCCTCATTGAACTTACTTTTCAATTTGTTTTTCAAGCAATAATATATTTTATGCATACAAAGCCATATCACCAGTATGATTCATGCTATAAACAACTTTGTATAACATCGAAGGGAAAAACAGGATACAGAAGCAGTTTTGGGATATTTTCCTGAACGTCTTAAACATCGTAACGGTGAAACGCTTAAACACATCATACTATTCTTGCAGATATGGATTAGGGGAATACTGTCTTCAACATACATGTCACAACACAGTGCACCGCTGTAAAGGATTGTAAATGCTATTTTGACTAAATGAGGTCATCCGCGATTAGCAAGGCAAATGGAATGTGTGCTAAAGTTGTTTAAGAACTACTTAAAACAACAACGATTGCAACATTTTACTGTTATTCCAATAACACTACACCAAAATATAACCGACAATTGAATACACACCACTTTGACGATAGAGTTATAGTATCAATGTAACCAATTAACGAGAACAAATCCTGTCATGCTGATCAGAATGTGACACCCCCCGCGCACCTGTCGCAATAGACTCGTCCAGGTGAGACACACTCACCAAGATGGCGACCCAACTGCTTTTCAAACTTGGCTTTTTCTGCGCTATTACAGCGTTCCTGTTGATGTTTCTGGCTTTTGCTACACCATATTGGTACAAGTCATGGACCCGCGTCCACAGCCCGTTCTCCAATATAGGGTTATGGCATGTCTGTCTCGCGGGCTACATACAGCCCAAGGACCCCAACATGAAGTCCTATGTTGGTTGTTGGTGGATACACTCCTCAGAGTTCCGCCTTGTTGCTAATCAAATTCAACCACGTAAGTATACTTTCAAACGACATGTGCTTTTTCCTGTATCACTAGTCATCGAGGGTTCTATTACTAATACACAAATAGTCAATGCCAATGAAAATTTAGGAAATGTGTTTACCTGTGCAGGTAACTTCCGGTTTTGAACTTTCTGACATTATTGGAAGGTGAAATTCAGCAGACGCTGTTGATCGAAAAGACATCGAAGATATTTTGGAATAGTAGTAGTCCGACATACAGAAATTTAATAATGTAATAGTATTACAAAGTGTCAACAGTCTTGACAGTGAAGAAGGATATTTTAGGTAATCATCGTTCCACTTATCCAAGAGTACCAAAAGTGTTTTGTGTCCTAAATTATTGATATTATCATGATTATAAGAATAGGAATGATACAAGTTTTAAGTAAACGTTTGTAAATCAGAATGGTTACTCGATGGGGCTTCCAGTACTGAAGAGTATTACACATAACTGATAAGAAGGAAAGATTTCCGCCCGTAACCCCATATTTTTTTAATCATTCTATGCCTAAGAATATAGGCCTATGTTTTTTTATGAAAAGCCTAAACTTTAAACCTAACCCTAAACCCTAAACCTAAAACCCATCGCAATAATCCTAATCAAGTGAATACATTACAAGCGGGGGTTAGAGGTGGAACTCTTACCAATAAGAATACACTATTGATGCTCTTTTAAATCACGCTGGTGTCCCCTGCCGTGATATTGCTGGAATATTGCTAAAAGCATTGTAAAGCTAAACTCACTCACTCTTGTGAATCACTCACATTCCAATAGTAAACAGTAATTGTGTTAATTTGTGTTGTCTAATGTAACCTTTACTACTGTAACATTTTCACACATTGTTTATGAGTCAAGTACACTTTGCTACTTAAAGGAATGGCAACAAATTGTTACACTCTTATGATAGCTTTCTTATAATGCAGCATGGTTTAGAGGGATCCAAGCTCTGTCCATCTTCACGCTGCTCGCAAACCTGGTCGGGGGTATCTTGCTGCTGTTCTACTTGCCGGACATGATGTACAAGAAGTTGTATGCTGGACGTAGAGTGGCCATCCTCTTTGCTGGTAGTGTCATGGAGCTGATTGCAGGTAAATACTCCTCTTTTTCATTGTGTTCTGGTTAAATAACGACTGCTTGTCTGAGGCATCTGATTTTACTATGGGAGCCATGGGAGGCCCAGTAAGGCGCACTAGTTTGATGTGCTGAGTTGCGTTCCTAAGGCTTCAAGAAACCTAAGAATATGGGTTCAAATCCCAGATTCAACATAGCAATGATTTTGGGTTCGACAGCAAAATACCCATATTTATGGGTATCACCAAAGTCATCACTTCAGGCTTTTTTCCACATGGAACAGAGAAATGAATTAATACTGTTTAACCTTTTGTTAAATCGCTCACAGGTTTCCTCCCTTCGCTGTGTCACTATCCGTAGAGCAATCATCCTCCAATTAGATGGAACTTACTGTTAGATTACAATTATGGTTGAGCCAACCACTCTGAGACATGCCAATCAGTATTGAATCGGCAAGCCATTATGTTTAATTAATGGAAATATGTTACAATTCCATCCCCAGTAATTTAGAACAGTTGGTTGTTCCACACTATAGCATTGTTATAAGTGATGTGGTGAAGGTGAACGTGCTAGAACATGAGATATATATATATATATCAATCAGTCAATTCTTCATTTAAGTATGAAGACCACTGAGCCTAATTATTAATTAATTATACAACAATTATAACTAAATGTTTGTAATGGAAGTGTATACGGAAGCATATGCCTCACATTGCTGCGATACTTTTGTCTAACATACTGTCGGAAATAGAAAAAAAATGTTTTTAGGCTGTTACTCTGTATCCCCAAAATTTACACAACTGCAAATAGCATATGTCGAAATAACCCACTTCGGCCTAAATTGGCATTCAGTGGGATGCGCAGTAGGATATTCAGAAAAGCATGTTTACTCGTAAAATCGGGCAAAACTTAGAAAAAATACGAATAGCTGCTGAAAACAATAGATCAGACTATAGATGGCAATTAAGTCGCTCAGCCTGGTATGACAATGGACTGTCGACTCACCTGGTGTGAAATGCATGTGCTGCCTACAGGTGCACAAGGGGTCATCTCAAAGATATTTTGTGCTTTTTCATGTGTGTTGACTATGCCTCCTCATGTATTGATTAACATCTTACGTGTCTTTCTTTCATAAAGTTTATGTTGACATATGTAAAAGAGTTTGATACATGATAACCATAGAAATGCATCGTATTAAATGTCTCAAAATATATAGGTGGCATGACCACCCGATCGCGAAGATCGACAGGACTCAATATTATTTGTAAATTGTTATGGCATGCCGTGTACTTCCCCAGTATAATTACACTAAGGGATTATCTTATCTTAGCTGATATCTCTATCCCCCAGCCCGACCCCAACGGTCGTCTCCGACACCCGTCCAGGTTTTGCTTTTGAGACGAACCCTCCTATCTGTTTCTTTTCATAGTGACAGTGAGACTGCATGGTAGCTACATCCTTAATAGTTTCAGCATGAAAGTTATATTTTTACGCCAGCTATCGTTTATAATGAAGCTACGTCTAATTTCAAATTGGTCATTTAAAAAGTGTCCTTTGTAATACAATATCGTCGCACACTAATTTGCATAAAGCCATGGTCTGTTCCAAATAAATCGTTTTGGACTTAGAAAAAACCGCATTGCTCATTTCTGCATTAATCTCTCCTCAGTAAAGTCCTTTTGTCTACGTTTCCTATGTCCCTACCACTGAGACTGTAGTTAGGCCGAACTTAGTTTAACAGATATTTCACACTTGCACATTTCAACTACATAAATTGTAGAGATAAATGAGAAAATACAGTTTTTGTCTATTTCCGACAGTACTTTAGCTATGATGCCTCCAATAAACAGCTCAGAATCCCATATCTCCCCTTGCAGCATTCTTGGTGTTCATCATCGCCCTTGTGTTTGCGGAGATGGCTAATGACCCCACCTGGATGCCACGGCCATGGATGAACTATCTGTCTTGGAGTTACGGTCTGTGTGTCTTGTCGGGCTTCTTCTCGGCCTTCGCTGGTATGTTCACCTTCATCATGGGCCTCATCTTCAGGGACAAGGAGCGTGGTATCATCGGCAGCGACACTCTGGACACTCGACTGGAGCGCATGAAGCAGAAGGAGCTGGAGGTATTGCCAAGATAATTTATGTTCCACTAATTCATAGTTTGGTGACTATGGTGGTGACTTGAAGGGTTCTCGAGAACAATTTGCCTCCAGTATTATGCTCTTCTTGTTTGGTACAGTAATTGAATAGAGTGATCAGCTGTATGACTTGATTGGTCATATGACTTGATTGGTTGTATGACTTGATTGGTGGCATGACTTGATTGGTTGTATGACTTGATTGGTTGTATGACTTGCGCATGACTTGATTGGTTGCATGTCATCCTTACTCAGTTCTGTGGGACATCACTGTCAATATTGAAAACTGTTTTGTCTGAGCCAGACATGATTATTTACAGGCTGTTATTGCATGGCTTGAGTACTGCTGGCTGCAGTGAACAAACAAACCAGGGACTTACGATATCTGGAAGAGGTTCGTCACATTGCAGTGTCAGTCCCTCAGTCGTGCATGGTCCACTGGCGGGAGGTTGAATTCTGCCGAAATATTGCCATTGTCACTTCCTCAGTTCAGCTGAATATAAGATTCAGCCTCACATAATCCTAATGTTTGTGTAGGGGCTTTTGTCAGAGGTTTTAAAGGAAATCTGTTATTTCGACCCTTCATTCAAAATGGTTATGACAAGAGCATGATTAAAATGATATCACAAGTATAAATACTATACAGCAAGATGGTATATACACTGACTCTTATCTTGTCTTCATATGTGAAATACTTTAATTTCATTGGTCAATGGGGCTTTAACAAGTCTCCGTGTCACCCCTCCCAGGAGGGTGACAACTGGAAAAATATTATCCGCTGCCACGGTAACCGCCAAACTCTTTGTCGAGAAGCTGTATTGCTAACAATTGTATGACATCATAAAATGACGCATGCAGTGTCCGGAGTTTGAAAACCGTTCGATTAGCTGCTTTATTTAAACTATTTTATACATTACGTCGTTTGCACACTCAACTTAAACATTATTAACCATTTTTATAGCAGTGTTAAGCTTGTCAGAATATGTCTCACCGATTTAAAAAACCCAGTCGAGAGGCAGAAGCCATTTTGTTTACATGTCATATAGTCGGTAGCGATATTTAAAATAAATAAAATGATATTTTACACATTTAACATGCGGTAAGATAAATACGTTGTATGCTTCTCCCTCGGGTAATACGGTCTGATGTACACCCTTTGTAGCAGTGTCATCCCTTGCCTACCGGCTCGGGTGACACTGCTACAAAGAGGCGTACATCAGACCATATTACCCTCGAGAGAAGCATACAACTTATAATCAACAGACATTAAAATTCTGTCATTGATAAAACCTGTAATTCTTGCAAACCTCTACCTTTATTACATGTTTTAGTAAACTATTTTCTAAATATAATCAAGAACTTCACTGAAGAAAATAAACATTGTGCTCTTTTAATTGACATTTGAATGATTTTTTGTTACTTGATTATTGAATGTATTAATGAGGGATTTATATTTTGTCTTCAGACCTTTTCTTAATACCCTCTTTCTCTTCAGGCTCAGAATCGAACTATGAATGGTCCTCCTCCATCATATAGTGGCGCCGAGCCTGTGGGTCAAGGTTACCGTGACCCAAGTATGGGCTACCCATCAAGTGGTTATCCATCAACTGGATATCCATCAATGGGTTACCGTGACCAAAGTGTTATGGGTCCACCGAGTGTTGGCGGTTACCGTGATCACAGTGTTGGGGGTCCGCCGAGTGTTGGCGGTTACCGTGACCAACAGAAAGAATATGACAGCGGTTCCATGGCCAGTAGTTATCGTGATGAGAAACCCAGACCCTACCCTGAAGGTGAGACATTGAGGCAGCAAGTAATTATGTTGACGACCCTGCCAGGTTCCCATATTGAAAGGGTTGTGTAAACCAAGGTGGTTGTTAGTGGGGACAAGATGGATTAGATGAACAGGCTTGGTGGCGCTGTTGATAGCGTGTCATTGTACTCTGAACTTGTGGACCATTGCTACTATTACCTTTGCGTTCTTGTTTCCATTACCTTTCTAGAACTGGTCATCAGCAACCCAATTGCGAAGATCGATGCTCATGCTGTTGATCACTGGATTGTCTGATCCAGACTCGATTATTTTCAGACCGCTACCATATAGCTGTAATATTGCTGAGTGCGGCTTATAACTAAACTCACTCACCATTTGACATCATGGCACGACCCAGTATTCTTGTTGTTGACAACACAGACAAAGATACAAGGTGCGTTAGACTTACAGAGTTAAGGTAACTGATGAAAGGTGGTTTTGGGAGCAGGCAGGTAGATGCTTGACATTGTTGTTTGACTGATGACCATTGTGTCTTCAGTTCACCAGAGAATGGCCCATGGTCAGCCGAGAGGGGCCCACTATCGTCATGGACCACCCAAGATCGACCAAGGCTACCAGGGCCGGACAGGAAGTGATAGCAGTAATATGGGTAGCCGTGGAAAAGTGGACGAATCCGTTGTGTAGAGGATCAAACCTCTGGTGCTGGAACTGGTAAGCAAGAAAACCTGATCATTGTAGACGCTTTCAGAAACTATCACAAACTCAAATCAGTGTTAGAAATACATTTGTGGGTACAATGTTCCATCTCCTCTTCGACATAATCATTGATACAGGCACAGGTATGAGTAAATGTATTTCAGACATGAAACTATATGAATTTTGTTTCATCATATTGAGGGGGCGGTGGGTTAGCCTAATGGTTAAAGCATCCGTGCACAGCAAGACCCAGGTTGTATTCCCCCGTGGTTTCAATGTATAATGCCCATTTCTCCTGCTGTTATTTTGCTGGAAATAGAGTAGTCACTCTTCATATTGAAAATGTTTTTGTTTTTGTGCTTTCAGTTTCCTGTAACAAGTCCATGATATCTGCAAGAGGCTGCAAGTATGAGGACAGGTTGCCATTGTAAATAGCTCATCATTACACACACAGAAACCAACATGATTCATAGACACGATCAATTTCAATTTAATGCTCTATCACAATTTAGCAAGTCCCATGTATATGATGTAAACAATATTTCTCATTGATACTTTTAAGTTGTGACTACATACTGCTTTTAGTAAAATAAATGTACAAAATGTAAAAATCAAATATGTGTTATGGCAGATTTTATCCATAGTTTCATCTTTAGCCATGATCTTTGTGCTGAACTTACAAGAAAGAAAATGTTTCTTGTGAAGATACATGTCAGGCATTCTTGCCCCTTCAATCCTGCTGTGAATCTCTTAACTGATGTGAAAATATTTAATAAGTTCCTTGTGTCTTACCAGAAATCCCAATGTGAATTAATCTTTTGAGACTGATTCAGATTTATTTGACTGCCAGGGCTCCAGATAGGTTTTTGACCCATTGTGTTACAAGTCAATCGCATGTCACATAACCACCTAATGTTGATGTATGTGAGAGTTAAAATAAGCGATATGTTGCACATTGGAATTATTCACTGCAGTTCACGTACATGCATACAATGTGTGAGGCCCATTTCTGGTGTCCCTGCCCTGATATTGCTGGAATATTGCTAAATGTCATCATTGATCAATACTTGACAGTGCTGTCAACTAGTAAAACTAGTAAAATAAACCTAATTTACTCTTGGCTGTTAAAATGCTAAAATGAAAAGATTGCAACAAAATGTAAAAATCATAGTAACATCCATATCCATTGTAAATACCACTACTTTTTAATCATTGTGTAAATTGGCTACATTTTCCTTTTAAGACTCTACCTATGTAATATGTTTTTGTACAACATGAATATTTCTTTATATGACTGTATATTTTTGCATAATAAAATTTGCAAAGATTAGTCACTCTGTGTTTTAATTATTCGTTTTTAAGACGGAGAAAGGGTGTGTGGGTAGCCCAATAGATAAAGCATTTGCTTGTCTCTCTGGAGGCCTGGGTTCAATTCCCAACATGGGTACAGTGAATGAAGTCCCTGCCATAATATTGCTGGAGGAAAGCAGTGTAAAACCGTACTCACTCTTCAGACTGGACTTTAAATGGTTCTTGGCCGACATTCACAGAGATAGCCCATAGGATTATATTAAATGTTGCGCCAATTGGTGCTCTAGCATTGAAAAAAAGAGCCATTGCATGTTTTAGTGTGAATGGCGCAATGGCGCTTGCCTGGCTGAAGCACTGCACATCCTAAGTGATATTTACACGTTACAGTTTATATATATAATTTCTCTTTTATTTTGTATATGATATGTAGTTGCATTGGAATCAACTGCAACAATATATGTATGAACTCACCGTAATGGCTTAAAGATAACAATGACAATATTTCATGAAAATCATGGTTTATTGAAGAATCAGTTTGAATTGAATAAAATATACATCCATCTTATGTCTTCAAAAATGTGATTTCTCTCACAAAATTATACATTCTGGTCCCTTAGCTATGCAAACATATCACAATTGTACGATATTTGCATTCATAAATTGCTTCACTAATTGACTGATGATGTGTCATGCTTGTCAGTACTGAATCTCCCACTCCCAGCCCACTATTTTCCCATCCCTCACTGGGGGAATGGGGGCTAAAAATGGTCCAAAAGAACTGACGGTAGTTGACTTGATGGATTGGGTGATCAGGCACATTGACTTGGATGAGGGTTGTCATTGAAGAGTTACAGATAACTTTTTGGGTCATTGAGTTATGTACTCGCTTGTGTTCATCTCAATTGGGTATCCTAATTTTCCTTCGAGTAACCAAATATATTGTACCCACCTCAAACCAACTCAATTGGGTATTTTGCTATTTTCCATAAATTTGTATAAAAATAATAAAGTTTAAATGTTGGTTTACGTGTTTGCTATTCATATTTGATCTGTAATATGAGAAACGATAAGAAAGACTGCAAGTAGCCAGTAATTCACGTGTGAAAATAAAACATCTGAACAGAGCTCCAGATAAGCTGCGTATTTGTGTATAATACGCAATAGAACAGTTGAAATACGCAAGAAAAATAAATGCCAGCGTATGAAAAAACACTAATTATTTACGTTTACGCTATGTCCAAAAAAAGAATGCGTATTTAACCAACACATCACAATTATGTTGGTATCGTATCAATTCAAGCCAATCGAAACAAACTTTTCCATCTCCAAATAAATATTCTTGAATAATTCTAAATGCAATAAAGATGCCCAATGCAGATAGAATACCAGTCATGGTTTGTTAACCCTCCACTGGTTGGCCAATCTATAAATAGCGACTAATCAAATAGCTGTTTCCTGCGTACATGTCCTGTAAACAAAGCAAGCATGGTCGAAGCTTCCACACGCTCAAAGTAAAATATCTAGGGTTTTTACGCTACATACAGAAAACAACTTCATTAGAGGACTGCTAGATGAATAAATATTATGCTGTGTTTCTCAATCAGAATCAATTCCCCGATGATATCTTAAATGAACTTGTAACATTAGCTGTTCGCGATGTGGAAGTGACACCGGATTGATGCTCACAACATCAACCACCTGATTGTCTGACATAGACTTGAATACACTAACATACAGCTGGAATAATGTGTGCAGCACTAACCAACAACATCAACCACCTGACTGTCTGACATAGACTTGAATACACTAACATATAGCTGGAATAATGTGTGCAGCACTAACCCACAAACACAGTACAGCCATGTATGTACACACTGCACCTTATCAACATGTCAGGTTCAGCCATTACATGGGGTGGCCTAGTGGTTAAAGCGTTTGCTCGTCATGCAGAAAACCTGGGTTTGATTCCCCACATGGGTACGATTTGTGAAGCCCATTACTGGTGTCCCTTGCCGTGATATTGCTGGAATATTGTTAAGAGCGGCGTAAAACCGAACTCACTCACTCACTCACTCACTTTATCAACATGTCAGCTTCAGCCATTACATATGAAACATGGTTTGAGCACCTGTAGAATTATCTTGTAATAGAAATTCTAGAAAAATGGATTGTCACCTTGATTTCGGATTTCAAGTTGTACAATAATGTACTTGTACACAGCCTGGGCTACAGAGGTACATATAAGTCACAATACAATCTGTTTCACAATACCCCATTTCATTAAAATCAGACCTCTATGCTTGCTACTGCTACACAAACCTTTAGGTCTGATTTTAACGAGACTGCACAGTGTCTGAACACAGATACAGTACATATAACAACATATTTGGTCAATAAAACTGCAAAATATTTATAACAAATGATAAAAGCTGGAAATGATTTTCAAGATATTTTTAAAGTCAACTTGTTATTAAACAAGTGTATCAGAATGATCACTGGCTTCGTAATGCAACATCAGGAAACAGATAGTTCCACACATGACTAGGATCTATTAACACTAGTGTTGGGAATTGGTTAAAATCTCAAAATTGATGATTGGTTCATTACCACCGATCAATCATCGAAAATAATTGGTTAGCGTCATTTATGAAATTTGTTAATGCACAAAAAAATAAGGAAAAAAAACGTAGTTATTTTGGGGTGTTTTGGGCAAAATTTTGGCTAAAGGATGACTAGTATGTGAGGAACATAAATTCCTTGGTGTCTTTAAGATGAATTCAATCATGACTTGGAACAAGCTTGTAGTGCTTATGAAATGTAATAGATAAAACCAAATATTGTTGATGAAAACAAGTGTTCCAGAATTGTTGTGTTTGTTTATGAGAAAACATGATCGATTGCTTAGTCGTTTAGTCACTGCGACCAATCTTCGATTATTTCAATTAATCGGACCACCACTAATTTACACTATTCATGAACATAATAAAAACATAGTTCACAGATATACATGTATTACAATTTAATCCAAGGCAATGTTAGTGTTGGGACCACCCATACACCGGATCTCAATGTATAAATCACTTGCACTGAAGGATAACATGTACCATAACCACATACCACTATAGGTTAGATGATAACAAATATCAAAGGCACCACCCTATCAACCCCGATTTCAGAAAATTAAGAAAATATGAAACATATTCATTCCATGTAAATCAAGGAAGTTTGTCACTTTGGTCAACACAATCTCTAATACTTCTACGTGCTATATAGAGATACAGAGACAGAAATGGTTTTGCTTCATGATCTGTAATATCATGTCTTGACATCAGCAATGAGCAATGACTTGCATGGGTATCTCTGTGACCAAAGAAGTGTAAATTGCTTCTGTGATTTGTCCCCATTGTAATAAACCTTAAAATCAATACCTCATTTTATTCTCACTCCCTAGTTTAATAAGTCTTGGTTTCCATGGAGCCCACTTTTCGACTCTGTCAGAGGAGAAAGCTTCAGGTAGTATCGTGGTTGGTACTGCATGATGGGACTGAAGGGAGTACTGGGCTGCCATCAAACCCGCCTTTATGCAAAGGTCAAGGTCATGACCTTTAACAATTGCATCTATCACTCCAGCTGCAAAGCTGAAAACCAAAGCAGGGGAGGGTTAAATAGCATTCTGGTGAACATTTTTCAGTTTATTCAAGGTAACATTTGACATGTGTTCTCTTGGTGATACATGTAACTTGCAAGGTTCACTCATGAAGTTATTGGAACATGTTAATAATGTTTGATAATGTCATTTAGTTAATCTAATCTATTAAGAAAAAATCAACGTGTTAACGTTATTCAACCTTTTAAAAAAGAAACGAAATGTTTACTTGAGCATAAATGAAAACCCAAAGGTCTTCTATGGTGTGCAGACACAGCGTCAGAATTGGAACCTCATGAATTATTTAGGTGCCATGATTGGTTGGAAGTTTATGGTTCATTGCTCCAATGGGCACTCAGGGATGATGTTTACAGATGCTGATTCTGACACAAGCAGGCCATGAAATATATATGCCAACTTGACCTTCATCAGGTAGGGTAAGAGGTCAAGGCCACCTGTGCAAAGCCTGTAAGTGCATATGGGTAGTGGGGTAGCCCAGTAGTTAAAGCGATCACTCGTCACACTGAAGACCCGGGTTTGATTCCCCACATGGGTACATTGTATAAAGCCCATTTTTGGTGTTCCTTGCTGTGATATTGCTGGAATATTGCTATAAGCGCCATAAAACTAAACTCACTCACTCACTGTAAGTGAATTATTAAACAAGCAGAGTAATGAGCCTACCAGTCCCCGGCCCCTGACACACTGACGGTGGTGCTAGGCATCTGGGCGGGGCTGCAGGCGGGGTAGTGAAGAACGCTCACATCATCGCTGTAGGTCTAAAACAGAACCATTGTGGGGTGTGAGGAGATAAGTGTGTGGAAGAGAGATGTATTTGTTTACTACAGTTAGTCTGGTTTGTAATACTTGGAGTTAATAACGATAAATATTCAAGTAATCAAGAGGCCAAGAGATTACTCAGTTATCACTGGAGAGGAGCAGTAGGGCTGGTCTCAGCACTGTTATTTTTGCCCTAGCTGATTCTATGTAAAAACAGAAATTCATGCCCATTTCTCAGATACATTCAATGCTTTTCATTTCCCCGCAGAACAAACAACCAGACCCTAAACAATTTCTTCTTCATGGCCTCTCCCTCATAGTGCTAATCTCCAAGCAACACTGAGACAAAGAACAGAGCCCTCAAACAGGCGCGACAAATAGTCTCTTTGTGGTTTAATGCTACAGTCATCCAGCTACTGTATATTACTGATATCGTGTGATCCTACGTATAAGACAACCCCCTCTACCCTCTGATTTATATACCCCGTCTATAACACAACCATTGTCGAACCACATCATCAGAGCATACAAGATATCCTTAAATTTGCAATAAAAACATGCTTGTGTCACAATATTTTCTTATACAATAACTGGTCATGTATAACTCCAGCACATGGCACCTTTTTGTGTGATGACACATTAAAACACAAATTTGTGACATTGATACTATGCACATAGATTAGAATCTGTAAATAACTGCCATTGCAGTAACTAACATAATAAGCATCGATTTCCTCAACAGTAACATTAATACACACCTGCTTGTGTTTGGTGGGGAAGACAGGTTTGTCTCCCAGTCTGTGACACAGTAGAACTCCATGACAACCAAGCGTTACCATGACAACTGGTATGCTGTCAGCAAGATCACAGCAGTATGGAAGACATGCATCTATAACATCATCCACACTGGAAGTGTCAAGAGAGATTGTCTCTGAAATAAAGAAGCACAAATAAACACTAAAATCTCCATATATTCCATGGTGAGGTGAGGTGAAATTGGGTTTATTGTCGTGCTTGAGAATATTTCGCTCATATGACGACGTGCATGCATGTGTATGTGTATGTGCGGCTGCTTGTACTAGCCCAGACTTAAACTGGTTTTATAGTGCTAGCCCACTGAGATACCATGCCGCAGTGAAGCATGAATACCCCACTCAGACACATTATACTGACTCCCGAGCCGACCAGTCCTTGTTGTACCCATTAATGCCGAGCGCCAGGCAGGGACCAACAAGTACCACATTTTAACGTCTTTTAGTATGACGCGGTCGGGGATCGAACCCGCGACCTTCCACTCTCCGGGCGGACGCTCTAACCACTACACCACGGAGGCGGTTTATATTGCATGGAAGAAATGTCATAAACCTGAAATACTGCATCGGACAGCCCAACAGTAGCATTTGAAATCATGGAACCTTGCACCCCCAAAAAATACTTAAAAGGTAAAGAAAATAGACTAAGATTAACAGAAGACACTGACTACTTGCCTTTTTCTTTAATCAGATGTCGTGAGTGAGTGAGTATGGTTTAACGTCGCTTTTAGCGGTGCAATGTGTGAAGCTCATTTCTGGTTTCCCCGCTGTGATATTGCTGGAATATTGCTAAAAAGCAGAGTAAAACTAAACTCTCTCACTCGCTTTAGCAACATTCCAGCAATATCACAGCAGGGGACACCAGAAATTGGCTTCACACATTGTACCAAAGTGGGGAATCGAACCCGGGTCTTCAGCGTGACGAGCGGATGCTTTAACCGTTAGACTACCTCACCGCCCCTGTCAGTCATGATCAAACAACACCACATGGAAAATATTAGGCACAATACAAATTACAGTCAACAGCATCCAACTTTGTAAAAACATGTAGCAGCCAAACATGAAGATAAAATATGAGATAATATGCCCCCTTTTTGTACAGCCATCCAGTAATAACACCCAATGATCTATTCCAGCTTAGCTCCCCATCTTCAACCCCACTGGGGTCACTGGGACCTTACCGACATCAGCTGGGGTTTTCCCTCTAAACGCTGCCCACATCTGCATCAGCTCTGCCACGTTTGGCGACGTGTATGTCATGTGATCTCGGGCCGAAGTAGAGTACGGCTTCAGTGCCTTGTGGATGTCTGCTGGCTCAAACCAAACTGGAAGAGAACCATGGTATACAGTAATGGTTGGTGATAACGTCGCTATATAGAGGCACTGTTAAGTTAAATTCCATTATCCTGTTTGTTTAAATCCAGTAGCCGTGATCACACAGTGATCATAGTGATATGACTATGGTAACTCTCACACATTGAGTGAGGTGAGGTGAGGTGAGGTGAGATGAGATGAGGTGAGGTGGTGAGGTGAGAATATTTGGCTGAGGTGAGGTGAGGTGAGGTGAGGTGAGGTGAGGTGAAATTGGGTTTAACGCCGTGCTTGAGAATATTTCGCTCATATGCATGCGTGTGTATGTGTATGTGCGGCTGCTTGTACTAGCCCAGACTGAAGCTGGTTTTATAGTGCTAGTCCACCGAGGTACCATGCCGCAGTGAAACATGAATACCCCACTCAGACACATTATACTGACTCCGAGCCAACCAGTCCTTGTTGTACCTCCTTTGTGAGACATGACTGTAGTAGGGTTAACATCCAGTGATAAAACTGAGTCTTGCCAATAACAGACCTGCATGACAAATAGATACTACTTACCAGGCACCTTGTTTTGACTACAGATATCACAGATGTACTCTATTGTCTCAGCGGGAATGTTGCCATCGACACACACTAATGGAGCTTGAGAGAGACTTTCTCTGTACTGGGACACCTGTAGCACAGTAATCAATCAGTACCATCTATCTCTGAAAGAACATCTGGTATTTGTGTGTAAGTTTGTCTATTTATTTGCTGTTTAACACCACATCTCAGCAATATCAATATTCCAGCTATAGGATGGTGGCCTGTAAATAAACAAATCTGAACCAGACAATCCAGTGATCGACATTGTGACCATCCATCGATGCCAACAGTTCATGACTCATGCAACCAATTGATATTGGTTGCCTCTAACAACCAGGGGCGGTGTGGTAGCCTAGTGGTAAAAGTGTTCGCTAGTCACGCCAAAGACCCGGGTTCAATTCCCCACATGGGTTCAATTCCCACACAATGTGTGAAGCCCATTTCTGGTGTTCCCTGCCATGATATTGCTGGCGTAAAACCATACTCATTCACTCACTCTAACAACCAACACAGGCAACTGAAAACAGGAAACCCAGCATAGTTGTTAAGATATGTTGTCTCACATTTCACTGCACAGACAATCTGAAGTGTTGTCACTGACACTGTTGTTTTCATATTGCCAGACACTACACATGCCCTCTCCTATTAGAGACTGTTGGAGACTGACCATGTGTGGTGTGATGTGAGACATGATCTCCATGTCCCCAACCCCGAACATCATCTCGCCACACTGCTGCAGCACCCCACAGTATACTGCTGTACTCCGCCCCTCCAGCTCCTTCACCCCAGACAGATCCTGCAACACAAGGACAACTCAGATGCAGTGTATGCCACCGAACATCGCCCCAGACAGATCCTGCAACACAAGGACAACTCAGATGTTGTGTATGCCACCGAACATCGCCCCAGACAGATCCTGCAACACAAGGACAACTCAGATGTTGTGTATGCCACCGAACATCGCCCCCAGACAGATCCTGCAACACAAGGACAACTCAGATGTTGTGTATGCCACCGAACATCGCCCCAGACAGATCCTGCAACACAAGGACAACTCAGATGCAGTGTATGCCACCGAACATTGCCCCAGACAGATCCTGCAACACAAGGACAACTCAGATGTTGTGTATGCCACCGAACATCGCCCCAGACAGATCCTGCAACACAAGGACAACTCAGATGCAGTGTATGCCACCGAACATCGCCCCAGACAGATCCTGCAACACAAGGACAACTCAGATGCAGTGTATGCCACCGAACATTGCCCCAGACAGATCCTGCAACACAAGGACAACTCAGATGCAGTGTATGCCACCGAACATCGCCCCAGACAGATCCTGCAACACAAGGACAACTCAGATGCAGTGTATGCCACCTAACATTGCCCCAAACAAATCCTGCAACACAAGGACAACTCAGATGTTGTGTATGCCACCGAACATCGCCCCAGACAGATCCTGCAACACAAGGACAACTCAGATGTTGTGTATGCCACCGAACATCGCCCCAGACAGATCCTGCAACACAAGGACAACTCAGATGCAGTGTATGCCACCGTACACCGCGCCAGACAGATCCTGCAACACAAGGACAACTCAGATGCAGTGTATGCCACCGAACATCGCCCCAGACAGATCCTGCAACACAAGGACAACTCAGATGCAGTGTATGCCATTTTTCGCCAGGATCTCCACCCTGACACCCTGTTAACCATCTCCACCCTGACAGCATGTTAACCCTCTCCACCCTGACAGCATGTTTAACCTCTCCACCCTGACAGCATGTTTAACCTCTCCACCCTGACACCATGTTTAACCTCTCCACCCTGACACCATGTTAACCCTCTCCACCCTGACACCATGTTAACCTTCTCCACCCTGACAGCATGTTTAACCTCTCCACCCTGACACCATGTTAACCCTCTCCACCCTGATGCTCACCATGTTAACCTCTAACATGACACAATGTTAACCCTCTCTACCCCAAACACCCACCATGTTAACCCTCTCTACCATGATACTCACCATGTTAACAATCCAACCTGACACCATGTTAACCCTCTCCACCCTCACTCATCATGTTAACCCTCCTAGCTGACACAATGTTAACCCTCTCCACCCTGTTAACCCTTGCACCCTGACACTCACCATGTGTTGACAGTTATCATGTAGGGCACCTGTATGGGAGCCCCTCCCTACAGCTGATACAAGCAGTGGACGTGATCCAAGATGAGAAAGGCAGTCTGCGATGTTGCGCCCGACACCACCAAATGACTGCCTCAAACTTCCAGGATATGTTGCGCCATTAGACTGAAAATGTTCACAAAATTAGACTGACTGAGTTTAGTTTTACGCCGCTTTTAGCAATATTCCAGCAATATCACGGCGGGGGACACCAGAAATGGGCTTAACACATTGTGCCCATGTGGGGAATCGAACCTGGGCCTTCGGCGTGACGAGCCAACGCTTTAACCACTAGGCTACCCCACCGCCCCCACAAAATTAGAACATAAATACATAGAACATTTCTTACTAACATTTTCAAGTTCAAGCAGTTCTGTGGCAATATCACCCACACTGTGTATCCTTGTTGGGAACCAATGGTTGAAGTGACATAGGCCACCATAATAGTCTTTTAAACTGGCTGTAGGTGCAGTCTAGAGGTAAATGGGTCGCCTTGTTTTACTGAACACTAAGAAGCAGGAAAATGGTGAAAAATGTAACACACTCACATAAATCTCTGTGTAACACGCACTATGCACAACAATACTTACCTGTACACGTTTTTGTCCCAGCTGAGCATAGAAGTCCACCACTACGCCGCCTACCACAACCTGTTAACATCATCTGAGGTCAACCAAAGATGAAGGTCAGGTTAACCCTTCACCAACAAAATCAACTGTCACATATTGAAATATTTACATGCACGAATATAAACATTTGGATTTCCCTGCCACCTCAACCAACCTAACTTCATAAATGTACTGAAAAAAATGTACATAAGCTCTAAGTTTGCAAAATATCTAGTAATAAAGTCTGAAAACATTCAGCAAAACATATTCTTCACAATTACGTTAAAATGAGTACATTTGAATTAAGGATTTGGATTTGATAATGAACTATGGTGCTGACTCAGAGTATGCGTTTTATTCGTTAGAAAGTCTCAGTTACTTAAGTATCAGTTACTAATATATGCAAAGATTCCCTTGTACAAAATTATCCCTTTTTCACATGAAGAAAAATACTCACTGGTCTTGACTGCTTTTCTTTACCACTTTCTTCGTGTTGAGGCCTCAGAATTGATGTTTTAGAGTTATCTCCCCTCAACTGCATATCATTCAGTGCAGAGGCTATCTTGCTTCCAACTTCAGCATTGTTCTTTATCAATGCAATGTCTGGATTTCATCAGGAAAATTACCCAAGACACAAGAAAACCGCTAAAGCAAACTTTAAACAACAAACCAAACTCAACAAAGAAAACCGCTGATACAAAATGAAATGGTTTAAAATTTGATCCATGGCATTGATCCATGGTGTTGTTTCAATGTAGGTGTTTCATAGGTTAACAAGTCTAAATATTGACAGATGGAATTGATCAAGGACAGATAACTCTGACTGAGCAACAAGTACCCCAGATGTCCAAGAATCATATTTGAGGTTCTTTGTCATGTGATTGAAGTGAAGAACGACACTGTGATATGTTGAGTCAGGATAAGAAATAATACAATATATTTGACTCTTTGTGTTAAAATAACAGTTTGTCTCATCTTCAAGTCACCTGATTACATAAACTTATATTTATATCTTGTGCCACAATCTATGCATGTATTTTCTTTCTAATGCTAGGCTGACAGCCCTAGCAACATATCAGTAAGGCGGACTGGAAGTAGTTCCAGGGTAAACGTTATTTCAGTTGTGAAGATAGTATCTGATCACAAATGCATCATACAATGAAACCAAACGTTTTCCTTCTGATCCTGATGCCCATTTGCAACAAACCCTGACACAGCTTGTTTTACAGAAAGATACTGGCTTGTAGGGAAATTCCCTTTGTGAGTACATTGACACGACTCAGTATGAAAGGAGTGACATCTTTTCCACAAATACCTTGATCTCTGAAACAAATACATGATCCAGGTAAGTTTGTCTGTTTGTCTGCACTCACCAATATTCCATCTGTACAATAAATATCAAGACTGGATCAGACAAACCAGCACTTGATATTCTGAGCCATAATCCAGCTAACTTTGTGAGTGAGTGAGTGAATGGTTTTACAACGCTTTTACCAATATTCTTGCAATATCACAGCAGGGGAATAAAGAAATGGTCTTCACACTGTACCCATGTGGGGAATCAAACCCGGTTAATGTGTTAGATCCTATCATTTGGCAAAATCATTTTGTAATTAAACACTGTCAAAACGAATGCTGGTTGTGATCAGGGAATTCAATTCTGGCGAAATATAGACGCAGACATCCGATACTTCAGGCAATCATCTCACTGCTGCCTAGAGGGACAGTGTCATTGAAAGGCTGTTCTAATCTACTTCTGGCACCCTTGAGTAAACGTCTCTCAAAAGATAGTCAGGGTTGGATTGGTTTCCCGGTGTTGCGATAACAACTGATAAAAACTCAGAGACGTTAACTTATTAAGATAATCATGATAATGCCAATGAAGGCATCAGTAGCAATGAACATTCCAGTAGGAAGCCAAAGTTCATAGTTGGCTATCCGCATATATTTTGCTACAGTTCTAAGAGCATGACGTGCGTCATTTGTACAATGTGAAATCCATTTGCGACAAGCACTGGATGCAGAAATGATCAAAATACTACGTTAACCACACCATGTCACGGCAATTATCTTTCAGGTCTCACGATTGTTCAACCTTGAATCTGTCATAAAAAAGCTCCACATAACAATATTTAATCAGTCTATTTTCATATACAAAGGTACATTAAGTAATGGTTTGAAATGTTTCAAAAAATTGTAATCTGACTCTCAAATGACTGTTTTTTATCTTCTTATTTTAATTTTGAATATCACAGTGACTCCCAAAACTTGATATCTAGGGAGAACCCTGTTGAAGTATCTTACATGTAGGTATAAAGGGATATTCTAGCACGACATTGTGTGATACTCAATTCTGATTGGCTGAGAGCTCATCAAAACCGTACTTAAATGGCAGTTGAAGACCGCTCATTAAAGTGACCGATTCACCGCGTATGAATACAAGGAACTTGTTGACCCTATTGTTTGTAAACAAACATGTTGGACATCAGCAGCATCTTTGGTGTTTTTGAAGTAAAAAGTGAATGGTTTGAAGAAGAAATTCTTGACCCTAATCCCAGTGAAGAAACTACAAAGCTGGAAAATCCGTCAACAGCGCAAAAGGGCAGTATATTCAAACCGGGTCCAGATCTAGCGGGCATGACGTCGACAAAACACGTTTATGTTGTTGAAAATGTCTTATCTTGTTCATTACACAACCTGTCCCTCAACGGGACGATTCCAAGCGATTTCCAGGAAAAAGGACCCTTCATGCCTTGTACTTGCGTGCCAAACAGTTCGGTTTTAAAACGCCTATCAGTCGTGCTAAAATAAAGATAAATCTACTCTGTTTTCAATTTTGCGGTCCTTTATCATTGATTTAAGACCGCTAAACGTTCAATTTAGCGGTCTTAAATCAACGATAAAGGACCACAAAATTGAAAACAGAGTAGCTTTATCTTCTAATTAGTTATACTTGGTGCTGAATCCTTACCCTGCCTCAGAAATTGCTTGCTGTATTGCTGACTCAATTATCTCCCCTGATGCAGCAAAGGATTCTGGGATGGGTACAGCTATTAGGATTCCACTCCCTGTGTTCAGCTGTAGATTTGATTCTAATGGAAAAAGTAGCATCTTTTTACATGAAATGGCAGATATAGTGGGTTCCAGAACTAAAGCTGTGTTTGTGATCGGTCTACAGTTTGGTAAGTTGAATTGAATTACTCCATCAATATATGCCACAGTCTCCAGCTGATTAAAGGCACAGATAAAGTATCTTCAGTTTGTTCCAGCCACAAGTCAGGGGTGAGCTGTTTCCAGCCTGTAATTGGAGTCACTTGTGTCCCGAGACCAGATCTACGTAGCATCCATTGTTGAATTATCATCAGGAAAACCAAACAGTGTAACATGATGGCTGGATAGCAGACGGACAATTTTCCCTCACCATATTGAGTCTGTATCAAAGAGTTTTTTCAAGAAATCCAGACTCATTTTAGAATTTTCTTTGTGGGAAACAATGTCATAACTATGCACAAAGCAGGTTTATAACAGACATTTTGGAGGTCTATGTTTCACATTGAAGAGAACTATCTAATCTTGAACATTTATGGAAGCGAATTGAAATCAAATAATGAAAGGTTAAACTGTCTTTGTAAATGTTCATAATCTTCAGGATTCTGTCGCCATGACTACTTACCTATAAGACCTGCAGCAGATGTTGCTGTTTGCACATTATAGGGTGACTGGAAGCCGCTCTTTGATGTGAAGAATGCTGGGAAATCTCTTGAACTTCCAAATGTGGCTACACAAACTCCTTGAGTTTCCTGAAACAAAAATATACTTTACTTCTTATTAATACATGGCAATGTATATTTTGATTCCTTCAATTAATGCATTTGGTTTTAGAATGCTCTACCCAGGAATACTCTATCACAAATGTGTAATGGTTATCTCCCAAAACAGAACTGTCTAATGTTGGCAACAGAAGATCACAAGGCCTTTACAGCAACATGCATGCATGTCTCTGTGTGGTTGCTTGCCTGGAATAATACAGGTGTTATTTGCCACAGTCCTTGTTCCATCCCTTATTGTCAACTACAAGGCAGGGTAAGCCCCATCTTTTACCGCCTCTTGGGATGACACGGCCAGGGAATGAAACCACCAACCTTTCTGTCTCTACCCAGTAGACCACAGAGACGGTCACTGAAAGATTTGAGGTGATGAAGGTATGATAGAAGGGTTTCTGACCAGGTACTCAAGGGTACGTCCTATGGGTATTGACCTATGTCAAGTATTGACTTGACTGAGGTCCACTGATGTCCATGGACAAGAACAGTCACTGGTGTGCAGCCCAGCTCAGTGAGGTCAGCACTGATGTCCATGGCTGGAACAAGAAGAGTGAGTGAGTGAGAGAGAGATGAGATGAGTGATGAGATAGAGGAGAGTGAGAGATAGAGAGAGAGAGAGAGAGTGAGAGAGAGAGAGAGAGAGAGAGAGAGAGAGAGAGAGATTGGTCTGGCCATACCTTTAACAGTATATTGGTTATATTGTGATGTGTTAGCTTGATGTTGTTGGAAAGCCCACAGTGGTCCAGGTCTCAGATATTAATCACTTTTGATATTGAGTGAGTGATTGAGAACAGTTTTACACAGCTTTTAGTAATATTCTAGCAATATCAAAGCAAAAACAGTTAAAATGTCAACAGTTTAAAAAGCAAAGACAGCCACAAAACAAAAATATATTTTCTGCACAAAAAATCCAACCTAAGAATCAGCTCTAACAAATTGCACAAACATCCTCCTCACAACATCACTGCAACAAGAGCCCTGCACTTGACTTTGGGTTGGATGAGCTAATATAACTGTATTTCAAGGGCGAAATATTGAGATGGATGTTTGGAAAAGTACCAAAGAAGGAGATCAAAGTGGAAGGGATGATGCTCAGAAATATACAATTACTGATAAAAGAATACATGTGATGACAACTTACAAGTTTCAGCTCCCCTATGAACTCCACCTATCCCCCCGGTAACGAAGATGGGAATGCCCATCTTGTGAGCAACCAGCATTGTGCCTGATACTGTTGTACCACCACTCTGTCCCTGAAAAACAACCACCACTGGTTGTCAAGTATAATCACCTCATTCCACTACATCATGGCGATGTAATGATCTAACAAGAGAGCGCCACCTGTAATGGCGACGGGTAGACGTGGGTAACATCATGGGGATAGAGATCGAACATCATGGGGCTCGTATTGGTCTGAATGTACAACCCACCAAGAAGAAACGTCTATGTGTACATGGAATTAAACTTCGCGGGTTTTTTGTGCCCGACAACAGTTACAGCACATTTTGATGTGCATAGCTGTCCTGTTACTTATGAGCGGCAACGTGGAGAGCAACCCCGGACCACGCCCGACCAGGTTACAGCTATTCTGCAAAGCATACAGGCCAACCTACAGTCTCTACACAGTCAGTTTGATAAATTTGAGAAAACCATTGAAGATATTAAGAAAGATCAAAACGAGATGTGGAAAATTATAGAAAAACTTGAAGAGGAAAATATATCCTTATCTAACAAACTGGAAAACCTTGAATCACAATCCCGAAGAGACAATCTGATATTCTTTGGAATAAACGAAAACGCAAATGAAAATTGGTCCGAAAGTGAAGAAAAAGTTAATGAATTTTTAAAGGAAAAACTCAAATTCAGTGAGAGTGAAGCAGCACGCGTGAGTGTGGAGAGAGCTCATAGACTGCCCACAAGGCACACTCCCCGGCCAATTATAGTTAAGTTTTCCTCATACAAGTGTAGAGAGCAGGAGGGTGGGGTGGGGGTTTTCCCAGCAATTTTGTACATAAAATTATATAAAAAATTATGCTTAAAACTTATGAGTACGGAGGGAGGTCATTGATTTTGTACATGACATGGGGGTGGGTGGGTGGCACTTACTTTGTACATAAATTTGGGGTGGTGGGGTGTCATTCACATTGTACATGCTTCTCCATAAAAATCATCATCATCCCTCCTAGTTATACATTAAGAACCGTCCCAAAATATGTGTCAAATGCAAGCGTCGAAATTAACAGACGTTAATACGCTAAATACCTTGAAAAATTCATAACAGCATTCAATTTTTTAATAAAGGACCACTTTTTACCGTCCAGTGATTTTGGTGATTTAAGCAGAAATTTTTTGAAAATGGTCGTATAAAAACATCGTCAATCTTGAAAATTTTAATATAAATTGTATATCTATATAATTATACTATCTCACGGTATGCACTCCTCTCTCTTGATTCGACACTGAGTGGAACGATGTAAACTTTTTTCCCAAGGCTAGTCTTGTCTATCCGCCCAAGCACTCCATGCTACCCTCATTATAAGACAGCTTCCTTGCTCTCATGCAAAGCATGCGCCATGCATCACTAGCTGCCCACGTGGCTATCTCCGAATCATCATTCTCATTCTTGGAACCACTGGATAATATCCCACTTGGAGAATCTGGATAGCGGGGAGGATGGGCGGGAATCCGTCGCGTGAGATAGGATAAGTATATAAATATACAATTTATATTAAAATTTTAAACTTATTCTATCTCACGGTATGCACTTATCCCACGGTCGGACGGCGGGACGCAGATACCCTGTGTCTTGACAGTGCGAACAGCAGGAACTGTGTAGAGTGGAAATGACCGTAGATAGCGATGCACAAGTGTGGCCTGTTACACATGCACGCAACTCATATGCTTGTGCTGAGTTCTCTTGAACTCCTTGGCTTACTAAGCACAACGTCTCCCAGGGAGAAGGGTGCTCCCGAGCAATGTGTTCGGCCGCAACCTCCGGTGGAAGTCCGATGAGCAGAAGTGATGGCCATAGCCACTCTCCGTGAATACCCCTTGGCGATTAAGGACTTCTGCAGATGTGCCAAACGTGCAGAGACGGTGTGAAGGGAAACATGACGCCGATCTGAGTGAGGGTGTAACAGTATGTCGTCCCGATCGGGAAGAGGAACTGGGTTTAGGTCTGCGACCTGTGCGAGATCGACAAACCAACTCCTGACTGGCCAGTAAGGCGCGACCAAAATCTGCTTGGTCGCTCGGAGTTTCTGGATTACTCTGGGTAGAAGAGCTGGAGGGGGAAAGGCATAAGCGTTGAGTCCAGCCCACGAAATCGCCAGAGCGTCGAGATCCCACGCTAGTTGGTCTGGTATCGGCGAGACAAACTGCGGGAGCTGATGGTCGACTTGGGGCATTGATAACGGGAAGACCAGTTCCCGAAAGATCTGTGGATTTAACTGCCACTGCGTGGGAGACGGCCGTTAGGAACGGGACAGCGCATCTGCGATGACATTCCTGACTCCAGGAATGTGTCTGGCTCGAGCATCGATGGCAAGGGAGTCGATCAGATAGAAGAACCGAAACGCCAACTGAACAAGGTTCGCCGAACCCGTCGACCCGAGATGGTTGATGTACCAAACGACCATGGAGTTGTCTGTCTGAATCAGCAGGGAGGACCCCCGAAGTTCCATTGCCCAATGTCGAATGGCGAGAAGAACCGCCAAGAACTCGAGTTCGTTGATGTGCAAGTCCTGTTCTGCGGACGACCACAGCCCGGCTGTCTGATGATGAAGAAAGTGAGCCCCGATTTTGAGCGACACGTCAACGAACAAGTGGTGCGTTGGAATGAACGGCATCAAACAAACTCCGGCGCAAACGTTCTGTTCAACAAGCCACCACTGAAGAAAAGGACGTAAGGGTTCGGGAAGACGAATCAACTCCTGGAGATTCTCTGAGACGAGATACGGATGCAGGAAACGCTGCAACAGACGCAGTTGCAATTGTCCCCACCGTGTCAATGCCTGTGCCGATGTCAAGAGGCCCAAAAGTTCCTGTCACTGTCGTAAGGTCCTGGCCTGCGACAGTGCTAACGGAACTAGTCGTTGAATCTTCAGCCACCTGTCTTGGGGGACGAAAATCAGGCACTGGTGCGTGTCGAAAGTTGCTCCAATGAATTGAAGGGTCTGGGTCGGTGTTAGTTCTGACTTTGCAGCGTTTAACAACCAACCTAGTTGCCGGAGTAGCTTCGTACTGAACTCCAACTGACGGTGAAGAACGACTGGGTCTCTCTGTGCCTGGATGCAGTCGTCTATGGAACTTTCGAACACGACCCCGTGGAGATGAAGAAACCTGGTGATCGGCTTGGTGATTCTGGTAAATAGCCACGGGCCGTGGAAATTCCAAAATGCAGGAGGGTCCATTGATAATGGATCTCTTGGAATACGAATCGGAGGAATTTCCGCGAATCCGGATGAATGGGCACATGAAGATAAGCATCTTGAAGGTCTAGGCTGACAAGAAAATCCCCTTCAGGATGGTGCGAAGAAGGACGATCGATACCATCCGGAAGTGAGGTGGGCGCTGGAGAAAGTGGGCATTGAAAAGTTTCATGTTGAAAATGAGTCTTAGTTTTGTGGAGTTTTTCTTGGGAACCAGAAAGATGAGTGCTGGGCGCCGGACCGAGAGATTGGACTGCACATTTCTCTATGAGCGTACCTATGGCGGAGTGAAGAACCTGGACCTGGTCCGCTAGGTAGCTGCAGTGTACTGGATGCACTGTCAGCAGCGGACGTCCGATGACTGGAAGGTGATAGCCTGTGGCGAGGAGGTCGGTCACGAAAGGATCGTCGAGTACGGTCCAGTTGGGAGCGAACCTCCCTAGTCTCCGCCCACTGAAGAGTCGTAAATGGGGACGGCTGGAGGCGGCAGTTCCCAGTCGTGCCCTTGTTTCGACCAGTCACTGCTTGGGGGCCCCATTCCCAACCCGGGAGTCAGACTTGGGAGGACATCGGGAAGAAGTGCCACGGGAGGACCTACTACCTCTAGCTCGGGACGAATGGCCACAAACACCCTGACGCAGTTCCGGATGAAATGTCACGAACCGTGGAGGCCTTCTCTGTATCATGGAAATTTGCAGATGAGACTTCTGGAGTTTCAATAATTCCACCGAAACTTGAAATTGAGTGTCCCGATCCACCTTTGTCGAAACTTCCCCAATCATGCCATTAAACATGGATTCTGCAGACCACGGTTGACGGAAGAGTTCAGCCTTAAACCTGTCATCCCATGAAGACAAATTGAGTGGGCCGCGACGTCAAACTGCCAGGAGATAGCCAAGGAATTGAGACAGCTGGTCAGGTACGATCTGAAATTGGTCCAGTATAAGGGACATACAGCCTCTGATGTAAGCATCCTGATCGGTGAAAGAGTGCTCCACTGATGCAGCAACCGCGTCCACCGCCGAGATGATGCAATTGATCAAGGGTAAGGAACGACGAATAGCTTTGTCCATGTGAGACAGTTCTCTATCCTCAACTAGAAAAGCTGAACAAGTCCTGTTTCCGCAAAGTGTTTGGACATCCTCATCCACCGAAGGGGTAGTAGCAAAGGTCTGGAAACCATGGGAGTGAGCTGCTGGTAGCAAAACCTAGGCGAAGACAGACCATCCTTAATCCGTTTAAGGCTTTTAAAGGCATGATCCAAGGATGTAGTGAGATGAGCAAGACAAGGCCAAGGTAGGAAGGTAATAGATGTCAAGTCTCGTTGTCTCATGGAGAAGGAATGAGATAAATCCCCCGGGTTCTGTGACATAGGGAGGTGGAGTTTCTCCACTATCCAAGCTAAAACTTGAGGTTTATCGACAAAATCCAAACTTCCCTCTGGAGAATCCACAACCGAATGTGCTCGAGACGTAGGATCAGGTGGAACACTAGGACTAGAGGCCGTAACAGATGGTCCGAGGGAAGGAGCATTCCCCATAGAGTGAGCAGCCTGTTGTTGATTCCAAGTAGTAGTAAGAGCACTTAACATCGCAGCCAGATCTTGGGGAGGAGTAGTTTCCTGTGCAGGAGTCCAGGAATCTGGTACAATCCGAGCAAAGAGATGCGAGGAGGCAGGAGTCCCGTCAGAAGTCATAGCACGCTGAGATCGCAACTCGGAAAACCGTTGATTAGATCAACGATCCGTAGAACCATTTCTACGTCTGGAGGGGGACGAACCGTGAGAGGATACACAAATGATGACCCGCTGAAGAGAACGGGAGATATCACAACGATAACGACGATCCCAGGACGATAGGCAGCAGTCAACCATGTAGGAGATCTAGGTTGACGGGTCGAGTGCGCAGAACCGGAAGTCTCATGACGAGAAGACGAATTCCGAGGAGGTGACTTGGAACGATGAATCGATCTCAACGAAGCAGAGGGAGGCGGGGTGCTTAGTTGAACGCTTAATGTGTCAAGAGTGGCGCCTCGGCGATGAAGTAGACCTATCAGGTCTATCCGTGCACAAATCTGAATAATAATAGGAGACTGATCCAGACGACTCGGTGAAAGCTGCGTCTGTGCTGAGGAGGTGTGACTGTAGGATCCAACAGAGTTCGGGGAAGTACTCAGATGATCCAGAGAGAGGCATTCCGCAGAATACCGCTTGGAAGAAGGCCGTTTCGGCGAAAGTCTATTCACCACATGCCATTTTGGTGAACATTGTTTCGACGAAGTACGATTAGGTGAAGTCTGTTTAGCAGACGATCGATCCGGAGAATGCTGACTCTTAGACTGGTGTTTCGATGAAGACCGGTTCGCCGAAAGCTGTTTCAGTGAGAGCCAGTCCCATTCTGGGGAACGCCTCTCGAAGGCAAGATCCTTGCATTTATCGCAACGACAGTCCCGCTTTACACTGTCCCATACACAATTCCCATGTGGATCACTTGCTGAGAACACTTTATTACACCGGGAGTATTTTTTCCTCTTCTTTGGCTGGTCAACTTTCCCCATGTTGTAGACTAAGTGGAAAAGGTTGAGCAAAGCAAAATACATCCACACTTGTGTGCGACAAGAAAGAGAATGATGATTCGGAGATAGCCACGTGGGCAGCTAGTGGTGCATGCCGCATGCTTTGCATGAGAGCTAGGAAGCTGTCTTATAATGAGGGTAGCATGGAGTGCTTGAGGCCTAGGGAAAAATCTTTACATCGCTCCACTCAGTGTCGAATCAAGAGAGAGAAGTGCATACCGTGAGATAGGATAAGTTTAAAAATATACTCAGTTTGGAGTAACTTTCCTTTATTTATTGACAACAATTAAAGAAGAATTCTGAAATATAAAATCCACAGTACTTATAGCCAATCACATGCTTAGTATAACATCAGGATTTTCAGATTTAATGATGGTGGACCTTAGCAACCGCATGCATTTGTCAAATTTGGCATTTATGATCGAACATTATTACAAATAATATGATAACAAACTACTTAAAACGAAGGGTGTGAAGGGGAAAGTGGTGAGGAATTTTGGAATTATTTTTATGTTTTTGCTTATTGAAATTTCGTTTAGCTTGAAGCTTAAGCAGTCTTTTGCTTTTGCTTTAAAAAGTTAGTTCTAACCCTGAAATGGTTTATATAGGAGAGGAATGACTCTAACAACAAACAGTCAGAGTAAACAATGCACCCTGTAAACTGAGACAATGGCCAATGTCAACTGTTGATAAACTGTAGCTTAATTTCAGAAACAGGGAAGCAGCTAGAGACATTTCAGGTTCTCTAGCCCAACAAAACATTTAGTAGCTGTGGGCCAATGGGCAGTCAAATAATTCCCACAGTGTAGGGATGTACTGATTGAATAAACTATTAAATGTTTCTATGGCCTACCTGTATTCAATCACAAGTAAAACTATCAAGAGTTGGAGATGAACTAAAGGCCCTACTTAACATCGCAGCCAGATCTTGGGAGGAGTAGTTTCCTGTGCAGGAGTCCAGGAATCTGGTACAATCCGAGCAAAGAGATGCGAGGAGGCAGGAGTCCCGTCAGAAGTCATAGCACGCTGAGATCGCAACTCGGAAAACCGTTGATTAGATCAACGATCCGTAGAACCATTTCTACGTCTGGAGGGGGACGAACCGTGAGAGGATACACAAATGATGACCCGCTGAAGAGAACGGGAGATATCACAACGATAACGACGATCCCAGGACGATAGGCAGCAGTCAACCATGTAGGAGATCTAGGTTGACGGGTCGAGTGCGCAGAACCGGAAGTCTCATGACGAGAAGACGAATTCCGAGGAGGTGACTTGGAACGATGAATCGATCTCAACGAAGCAGAGGGAGGCGGGTGCTTAGTTGAACGCGAATGTGTCGAAGAGTGGCGTCTCGGCGATGAAGTAGACCTATCAGGTCTATCCGGTGCACAAATCTGAATAATAATAGGAGACTGATCCAGACGACTCGGTGAAAGCTGCGTCTGTGCTGAGGAGGTGTGACTGTAGGATCCAACAGAGTTCGGGGAAGTACTCAGATGATCCAGAGAGAGGCATTCCGCAGAATACCGCTTGGAAGAAGGCCGTTTCGGCGAAAGTCTATTCACCACATGCCATTTTGGTGAACATTGTTTCGACGAAGTACGATTAGGTGAAGTCTGTTTAGCAGACGATCGATCCGGAGAATGCTGACTCTTAGACTGGTGTTTCGATGAAGACCGGTTCGCCGAAAGCTGTTTCGTAGAGAGCCAGTCTAATTCTGGGGAACGTCTCGAAGGCAAGATCCTTGCATTTATCGCAACGACAGTCCCGTTTACACTGTCCTATACACAATTCCCATGTGGATCACTTGCTGAGAACACTTTATTACACCGGGAGTATTTTTTCCTCTTCTTTGGCTGGTCAACTTTCCCCATGTTGTAGACTAAGTGGAAAAGGTTGAGCAAAGCAAAATACATCCACACTTGTGTGCGACAAGAAAGAGAATGATGATTCGGAGATAGCCACGTGGGCAGCTAGTGGTGCATGCCGCATGCTTTGCATGAGAGCTAGGAAGCTGTCTTATAATGAGGGTAGCATGGAGTGCTTGAGGCCTAGGGAAAAATCTTTACATCGTTCCACTCAGTGTCGAATCAAGAGAGAGAAGTGCATACCGTGAGATAGGATAAGTTTAAAAATATACTCAGTTTGGAGTAACTTTCCTTATTTATTGACAACAATTAAAGAAGAATTCTGAAATATAAAATCCACAGTACTTATAGCCAATCACATGCTTAGTATAACATCAGGATTTTCAGATTTAATGATGGTGGACCTTAGCAACCGCATGCATTTGTCAAATTTGGCATTTATGATCGAACATTATTACAAATAATATGATAACAAACTACTTAAAACGAAGGGTGTGAAGGGGAAAGTGGTGAGGAATTTTGGAATTATTTTTATGTTTTTGCTTATTGAAATTTCGTTTAGCTTGAAGCTTAAGCAGTCTTTTGCTTTTGCTTTAAAAAGTTAGTTCTAACCCTGAAATGGTTTATATAGGAGAGGAATGACTCTAACAACAAACAGTCAGAGTAAACAATGCACCCTGTAAACTGAGACAATGGCAATGTCAACTGTTGATAAACTGTAGCTTAATTTCAGAAACAGGGAAGCAGCTAGAGACATTTCAGGTTCTCTAGCCCAACAAAACATTTAGTAGCTGTGGGCCAATGGGCAGTCAAATAATTCCCACAGTGTAGGGATGTACTGATTGAATAAACTATTAAATGTTTCTATGGCCTACCTGTATTCAATCACAAGTAAAACTATCAAGAGTTGGAGATGAACTAAAGGCCCTTGCTTAATGGGTATCTGTTATTTGGGCTTCAACTAGTACAGTAATTAAGTTGGTCTGACCTCACAATACTTATAATACCCATACCAGTCACCCAAACAGGTGTTTTTCAGGCTTAATGATGTCCTAACAGACCCCTACCTGAGAGAGGACGACTGGGAAGTCTCTGCGTGATGTTTTCACCAGTCCATCTCGGGACCCCAGCCATTCAAGTTCACTACTGGTCAGGCCTGGAGGGGAAAGTATAACACATTTGAAATGTTCCTTGTCTTTCTCCTCTCAAATGTTTTTTTTAAAGATTCATATGAAAACCATTTCTTCTTGGGATTCATTGACCTGTGAAGAGGTCCGGGTTAGAATTGATCTTCGGAATCGGGTGGTCAGGCTCGATGACTGGGTTGACACATGTCATCGTATCCCAATCGCGTAGATCGATGCTCATGCTGTTGATCATTGGATTGTCTGGTCCAGACTAGATTATTTAAACCTTGTGTGATTATGTAAACCTTGTGTGGGGATTCCTGCTTAGAATCGATCATCAGTAGACTAAACATATTGGAAGAGGACAGTTAGTGAATTGGGTGGTCTATTTGGATGACTTGGTTGAATATGTCATTGTGACCTGACAGCATGGTTTATGCTCATAAGTCTTACTACCATTTTGTTTCATCAAGGCTTCATATTTACAGGTAACATGGCTGGATTATTGTTGAGTTTGCGATAAATGTGAAATCAGCAAAGCATAGATCTCCACCTTCCAACGGAGATTCCAGGTAAGACTATACGTCCCAGCCCTCAGGTTATCAATCAATGGATTGTCTGGTCTAGGCATGGTTATTTACAGACATGCCACCATATAGCTGGAATATTACTAAGTGTGGTGTTAAACAACAAAGAAACTACTCGGAACTCACCCACATGAACCTGTCCTTTAATGACAGCCACTGTGGCAGGAACACTGCCATTTTGTCGAATGATATCTTCCACTGCCTTTGCTGTTCTGTAAACAATTACAACTGAACCATGAAATGTGCACATCACTCACCACTGATGTACTGTACAGACTGACTGAGTTTGGTTTTACGCCGCTTTTAGCAATATTCCAGCAATATCACGGCGGGGGACACCAGAAATGGGCTTAACACATTGTGCCCATGTGGGGAATCGAACCCCGGGTCTTCGGCGTGACGAGCCAACGCTTTAACCACTAGGCTACCCCACCGCCCCCTGTACTGTACAGAACAACAATTTCAACTTCTACATGTCCCAACAACAATGTTACATAAAGTCATCTAATACCTTCATATGTTGTGTGCCTGATACACAATATGCACAGAATCTACAAAATCAATGTATCAATAATTTACCATCTATTCTTTAAATGATTATGAGCACCTGCAATACACCTTTGAGTGAGTGAGTGAGTTTAGCTTTACACCGCTTTTAGCAATATTCAAGCTATATCACGGCGGGGGACACCAGAAATGGGCTTCACATATTGTACTCATGTGGGCAATCGAACCCGGGTCTTCGGCATGACGAACGAACGCTTTAACAAGTACGCTACCCCACCGCCCCAATACACCTTTGACCTCCAATGCACATGGTCATGATGATGCCAGACTTGGGGGGCAATGGCACACCCGGAGAGTGAGTGAGTGAGTGAGTGAGTGAGTGAGTTTAGTTTCACGCCACACTCAGCAATATTCCAGCTATATGGTGGCGGTCTGTAAATACTCAAGTCTGGACCAGACAATCCAGGGATCAACAACATGAGCATCGATCTGTGCAATTGGGAACTGATGACGTGTGTCAACCAAGCCAGCGAGCCTGACCACCCGATCCCGTAAGTCGCCTCTTACGACAAGAATGGGTTACTTAAGGCTCATTCTAACCCAGACCTTCACGTGTCACACCTTGAGAAGATTGTTGGTAATACACCATAACATTCATATCATCGTTTGTCTAATAATTCCTCACACAGGTCCCAAACCGTCTACAACTTACGATACGTTGTCGGGGTAAGGCATGCCATGGGTTATTATAGTGCTCTCCAGGGCAACAACAGGTTTCCCAGAATGCATTGCATCCTCCACTTCTTGCGACACTTGCAACAGGCCTGAGAGGAACACAGAAGGTTCATTTGTATTACGTCTTCAGAGTAAATTCAGATGGAGTATCCACCGTTACTTTCTGTTAATTATAAAGGCAGATTGACATCTTAGGCCCCAGAGTAACGTCGTACTTAAGAATATTTCTCTCATATGACGACGTGCATGCGTGGATGTGTGGCTGCTTGTACTATCCCAGACTTAAGCTGGTTTTATAGTGCTAGCTCACTGAGATACCTTGCTGAAGTTAAGCATGAATACCCCACTCAGACACATTATACAACCAGTCCTTGTTATACCCAACAATGCCTAGCGCCAGGCAGGGACCATAAAGTACCATACTTCAACATCTTTTGGTATGACATGACCAGGCATCGAACCCGCAAGCTTCCGCTCTCAGGGCTGGCGCTCTAACCACAACACCATGGAAGCAGTTTAATAACTGATTAACTGAGTGAGCGAGCTAGGTTCAACACCCCTTTGAACACTTTTCAAGTTATATCACAATATGTCGGTTTGTTGTTTAACCCTGCACTCAACAATATTCCTGCTAAATGGCAGTCGTCTGTAAATAATCAATTCTGGACCAGACAATCCAGTGATCGGCATCATGACCATCAATCTACGCAATTGGGATATGATGACATGTGTCAACCAAATCAGCGAGCCTGATTACCCGATCCTGTAGGTCGCCTCTTACGACATGCATGGGTTGCTGAAAATGATTAGTCTAGATGTATATGGTTTGGAATTCAAAACCACAATAAACATTTTCAGCATGTTGAAGGGAAACAACTCTGCATGACAGGACCACCAGTGCACCTGATGAAGAATATGATAATAATGCATAAAGAAGTGGATATATCAGCTTAAATAGCTATTATTTATTTACTAACTACAGTAATGCTAAGTATGAAAAGTCACATCTATACACATACCATTTTTACTAACAGCTGATCCATGACTCAGTTTGTGTTTATGTACGGAGGGACATATGTTGCTTTTATATCCCGATATTTTCCTGGCAATCAGCCGTGACAACTGCTGCCCTCTGGTGCCGGTGATCAGGGACATCACTATATGTTCCCATCAGACCTGCAGACAAATTGACATTTTAAAGTTTTAATCGTACCACCATCCAAAAGGAGAAAGAAATTACTGTAAATCATGAAATTAATGCGTCACGAATCTAATGCGAATGCGAGGGTCTAGTCTAAAATCCCTCCCGAAATTAATGTGAGCTCAGGAATCTGTGTCGATGATAAAGTGTGACACCATGAATCTTTGCTGTTCATTTTCTTTTCACACTTATTACCAAATAACCTGAAATTGAACTTGTTAAGCAACGAATGGAAATGAGCTGACGATGTTTTGATTATGCTGTCATGTTTGATCACGTGATTGCTTGCTGCTACTTCTCTTATGACAACATGTATAAACATAATCTGACTTGAAAGACGCAAGTCATCTACCATAGTACAACAAACAAGTGGCTGGAGAATGTCCAGTCTGGCTGATGTGCTTGAGTGACTTTAAACAATGACCAGTGATTGATAATTACATGCGGCTTGAGACACCTGAAATGAGGAAGTGACCTGTATTGGTGTAATGTGTAGTGTCAACACTTCCACTAATTATGTACATTATTACATAATTTGCAATAAAGACGACAAGAGATTTACGTTTTGTCTTTTATTAGGTTCTCAAAAGTAGACATGGTCAGACTGAAATGCATCATCATAATAATGCGTGAAGAGTACAGACGCATTTTTCGCATTAATAAAGTGCTCGCATTAATTTCATGATCTACGTACAGTTCATTCTCTTTCCACAGAGGTTACTTGTCATATCTTCCTTCGAACCTCTGTTCTAATACATGGTGCGAGTGTTCAGGGTTCATGATTGGTTGCAATCAGATTTAGTTGTGCAATCAGCAACGTTGTTTCAAAAGTGATCATTCGCAAGGCCTCGGTAATTTCTGTAAGCTTCGGGAAAACTAGAACCTCTTCCCCTGCTCGATGCGCAAAACGTTTCTTCTAGACAGAACTCAGTCATGTAATGGCGGATCAACAGCGTCTCCATCGCCCTCGTTGACAACGGACAAGCTAGCCATTAAATGTCTTGTGTGTCACATCAACACAAATCCCCTGTAGAGGAGGGATATTTGTGGCCCAACATTTGCTTTTATTAGTCAAGTTGGATCTAAGCCGATGTAAAACGTGTTTTGATTGGATAGAAAGCAGGGAGATCATTCGTGTTGCGCTTTTTTGCCGCTAGGGGATTTTACGAGTACCGGGAAATATGGCCCTATTAGAACAGAGGTTAGTAGGAAGATATGACAAGTAACCTCTGTGGGAAGAGAATGTGTACAGTACTACTTCATAGCTATCAATTTTCAATGAAAACAATAGACAACAGGTCATGCTGAACAAGATGATTGTTTTACAAATTAAAGTATCATTAAAGTGCAAAGCTATACCGTTCATGAAGAATATTGTTCAAGAAGTAAGTTGTTTCAACACTTGCATCTTTAACATTGACTTTAAAAACCACTTCAAAATGTATTTATCATGTCCCAAGATAAAACTAAAACGACTTTTAAAAACTTAAACATTAACTTTCGTTATACATTTATATGAAAATTCAAAAACAATTTCGAAGATGTATTAGAAACTGATTCTTTAAGCTGCAAATTTGCAACCCAATAGTCAATAATTGTAGAAGAGTTAAGAAGGTAAGAGTTACATGCCCCTTCTCATTGTAATCATTCCCGAAGATGCAACGTGGCGACAAATTAACTGAACTTGACATTGGTTCTGTTATTGCAACATAATTATAATAACATAAAACGTTTGTACATTGAACTGTCATAAGTATTTCATGCTCAACAGACACACACGTTAGAACGCAAACATTCACCAGCTGCTACCTTCGATGGATCAACTTCCGGAACAGTGAGTCTGTGGGTTCGAAGGGAAACTGACGCTGATTGGCTGTCACGGTCCTCCCCGCTCGATTTAAAGGATAAATATTATCTTTCAAAATCCCCCGGGAGTTAGTACATGCTCATGATTCATGTTTGAATGAATCCGCTATAAACATTCTGTCTTCTTTATATCATTTTTATCGATTACAAGTGGGATGATATGCGTGGTGTTTTAGGCTGGATTTTAATTAGAACTAAAAATAAGATTCGATAGATCAGGGATTATCTACAACAGGGATAATCTACAACAGGGATAGCGGTGCCTCGTCATGCTCCAACACGCACAGTGACTTGGTTCGTTCCCAGCGCAACTTCAGCTGCGTTTAACAGAACTTCAGCCAGTGTATTGTATCAGTCGGAATTTTACAATGAATGAATGAATTAAGAGCAAGAATTACCTGTATGTGAATGAATGAGAGAAATAAAGAAAAAGAACAAAAGAAAGAAATACATATGTGAATGAACGAATGAATAAATGAAACACCACGGCCATCCCTCCCCAAACATGTTAAAGAACGCAAAACTATCGCTAGAATACATGTGTTAACATCAGCTGTCCTTTTTTTAAAAAAATCTACTTTGAGACATTTTTTACATTAGTAATTAATTCAGATATCTTATTGCTTGTGTGGAATGGCATGGACATTGACAGAATATTAACTGACACTGTCACACACCCCTCAAAACAGAAAGGTTAGAACTATCACAAAACGTTGTAAACACTTTTCCAGTTTTGTCAAATACTAAGATAAATAAGAAAGAAAAATGTTTTAGAACTATAACACTCAAGCATCACAAGCATCAGTGGCGGATCAGAACAGATCGGCGATATGTCATATTTTCACACACCTCAAATACACCCTAACAATCTTTTTAGTTATAAAACTATCACTATTACTTGCAAACACCTTTCAACTAAAGGCATATTTCCCTTCTAAAAATTAAACGAATATGTGAAATAAGTTTTTAGCGATAGAATTTAGTCTTTCTTCGCTGTGTACCGAGAATTGAAGCAAGTGAGCTACACAACATGCCCTCCTATATGTTTCTTTTTATAGTGACAGTGAGACTCCATGGTAGCTACATCCTTAATAGTTTCAGCATGAAAGTTATGAGTTTTCACGCCAGCTATCGTTTATAATGAAGCTACGTCTAATTTCAATCTGGGCATTTAAAAAGTGTCCTTTTAATACAATATCGTCGCACACTAATTTGCATAAAGCCATGGTCTGTTCCATTTAAATCGCTTTGGACTTAGAAAAAAACCGCATTGCTCATTTCTGCACTAATCTCTCCTCAGTAAAGTCCTTTTTCTACGTTTCTTATGTCCCTACCACTGAGACTTGTTTTAGGTCGAACTTAGTTTAACAGCTATTTCACACTTGCACATATCAACTACATAAATTGTAGAGATAAAAGAGAAAATACAGTTTTATTCTATTTCCGACAGTACTTTAGTCGCATGACGTGTCAGTTCAATAGACAGTTTGCCTTTTTTTCGATTCTCCCAATCGACAGTTCTTTTCTAAGCTCACTTGAAACAATGTGCAATGTCTTACCACGGATCTAACCGTTTAATAAGAACCCTTAGCTTAACCCTTAAACAAAACGATTAAACGAGAGATACCAAAATATCCTGCCAGTGTCTTGTCATTAAGACTCCATTAGCTCCTGGCAGCACAAGCAATCCGGATGATGGTAATTTGATGGCATTGCTTTAAACGCAAATAAAACCAATGGTAAACAAAATGTATGCCGCATTAAGTGGATGAAAGGAGATACGTCCACATTGTTCAGAGTGAAATTTTTGTTTTGTTTAGTCGTTTAACGCCTCACTCAGCAATATGCCTGCTTTTTGGCGACGTCTGTGAATAGTCTAGTTTGTACCGGACAATCCAATGATCAACAGCATGAGCATCGATCTATGTAAATGGAATACAAGGACCTGAATCAATCATGTCAGCGAGCTACTTTCACCCCGGTATCCATGGGGGAAATCTAGCAAGGGAAGGCTGCACAATTTACTACCATGTAATCTCCCAGGTATAAATACATTACATTCGGAGCTGTTTAATGACCGCCAGTTCTATCTACAGAGGAATTCGGTTTGTTGCGACAGAATTGCGACTGGTCGTAGTTCGAGATTTTACGTGCGCAACTTATTGTGATAGATTCCATTGATTGTTTGGACAGCAACCCAAGCCACTGGAAGTGGAGACATGCTGTTGTGCTATTTTCAGGATCGCTCTATCTCCTTTATAAAACAATTGACGCAAGTAGGTGGGTGGGTGGGTGGTTGGGTAGTTAGGTTTATTTAATTACTCCAGGTTTGGAGATACACAATTAAATGAATATTAAAAGCTTAAATTATTAGCCACAAGTGTTAAAATTTTATGATAGATTAATTAGAGTCTTTAAACAGTGAAACTGGACAAATGGTTTGATTGTAACAAATAAACCCATTTAAATTGAAAAGGAGCTCCAGGGAGACAAGAGATTCAGAACCTGGGGAAATCTAATTTGATTCATATATGTCTCTAGCAGTGAAGGAGGGCAGTAGGGAAAATAATATGGTTCAAGGACTGTGAGACAAACTAGGCTCCAATGTGTAAAGGCCATTCCTGTTGTTCCCCGCCATAACGCCAACAAGCAGGCGAGCAAGCGGGCGAAAACATAAACACAAATTTGAAAGAAATCTTTGAAAGATGTTTCCACCGATTATTTGATAATACTCCTTACATCACTGAATATGAAGATCGAGTTGCTTTGCTTCGAAAAAGCATTTAAGTAAACGTAGACGAAGAAAGATCACGTTCAACTGTTCTTTTTCATGAGGGAGCAAGTTTAGGAGTGTCTCTTTTTACATTTCGGAGGCGGCGGGGAAACTTAAGATGAGAAGACTTTTTGATTGTTTTCAGGACGGAATAAAAATTCAGGGCGGAGGGGAGATGGGACATAAAAATAGACGGACAACCTGATGTTGCTGTGATATTACGCATGCCAAACATAACATGACTGACACTCGATGCTTGAACAAAGTTCGGGTCAGCTTGACCCTTCAGAGGATCAATGTTCATGTTAATTCAATGTTAATTGCCTTGACGCACCAGCTGTGTATTTCACAATGAGGTTATAATTTGTACCTCACGCGAGGAAAAGGCACAGCTACAGCTGGCATAGACCTGCACAAGTCTCTAAGGTAATAATTAATAGTTTAAATGAAAATTTCTGACAAAAATATAAATAACAGACTTTCGTCCCTATGTACTGTCCGGTTATCTCGACTGTCTCTTTAACGGATATAAGTACTAAACATCCATTGCCTTAGCATTCAGTACAGCCTTGGATTAAGGCTACGGCTGACAGCTGGGACTGAACCGAACTTTTTTTTTCTTTTTTTTGATATTTTCTTTTATTCATTAACTGAACTTTATTTCAACTCGAGCCACAGATAGTAATGCCCTTGAACACTGGTGTATAAATATCAATACTTGGCTTTCTGCAGCTCACATTACTAGTTCATGGAATATCCCCGCTGACAGAGTCAGAGGGACAGACTAGGTTTATACCTGTCATCGACCTTTTTGCATGAAAAAAAACATTGCTCAGCATAAATGATATGTGCCAAATACACCGCGTTGGAACTTGCAGTCCCGACTTGATCAGTGAGTGAGTGAGTTTGGTTTTACGCAGCTTTGTCGCAGCAACATCACGGCGGGGGACACCAGACACGGGCTTTTCCCAATGTGGGGAATGAAACCCGGGCCAACGCTTTAACCACTAGGCTATCCCACCATCTCCCGACTTGGTCAGATCAAGTCACTAAACTAAATTTACATCTCCTGATGTAGCGAACTGATGGATAAAGCGAACTGTTTCCCATCATGGATTTTATTAAGAGCAACAACGCGGTTTGAAAATAGTATTTGAAGGACGCATGTACAGCAAGCATTCAAGTCGTAAGAACAAAGGCTGGTGGAAATGTACAAAGAGGTCCCGTATGTCATCAATTTAATACAATTGGTTACTGTGACTTTTTTCCTTGCCAAAATTGTGAATTTCTTTCTTGCGACTTTCTTTCCGATCACCGTTTTGGGGGCCCAGCCATATACTGTATATAATAGTCGAAATGCGTGTGAGGACCTGCCGTTATAAAGAACTGACATTGACATTTCATGAAGTTTTAACGACTTCGATTTTTTTTTAAAATGAGAAAAGGCATTTCCCTGTTAGATTTACTTCCGATTTATGAAATTCTTTTGGAAAGATTTATCCTCTCTATAACTCAATTAAACACTCAGCTCGTTTTAATTGAAGAGTCTGCCAGAGAATGGATAAATGATTTTTTAAAAAGAAATCCAATCAAGTGTCTTGGGAAATTGCTTGAGTTCGAATCGTTAGAAGGGGTGGTCGTCTGGGTGACCTACTTTCTCCTTACATATTCATACTATATGCGGAAGAACTCGACATTTTGGTTGGTAATAACGCTAACATCAAAGGAATAAACATCGGTACCAAAAATAACTCAGTTTGCAGACGATATTACTTCCACTGAAGAGGATTAAGGACGTTTTCTACTGGGAGTTTTGTAAGTGTTGACCTTCTTTTTCCGGAATAATAGTAAATAATAGACAGAACGAGTATTAGATGGATAGGCATGGAGAAACGTTAAACACTGAAACTGTTTTCTAAAGAGAAAATGAAAGGGAATGAGAGTTCATTTAAGGTGTCCGGGATTACATTTAACTTTACGTGTAAGCTTATAAAACGGGAGAGATGGATGTCCATCTGATCTTCCCGTAACTTATCATCTCTTGGCGGAAACACTATTCTAAAATCGCGTTAGATTTCAAATAAACCACCTGTTTTCAGCTTTCTCGCCTAGTATAGTGCGATATTGGACACTAGTAATACACTTATTTGATGTTAAACTATTTAAGCAAGCAGTTATTAGCAGAAAAGCTTTCTTTGTTTTAAGTTTCTAAATTTAACAAGAGGAATTTGGAAATTAGAGTGGCATTAGTCAGACACGAACCTCAAATTGCGCTCTTTGACGCACTTCAAGCCCTGTGCAGCCGTTAGGGGTTGGATGGTAATCGGACTTGAAGCATTTCCAAGGGAGTCAAGGAGACATAAGGATAGGAGGATTTATGTCATAGCTTCAACCAGTCACACAATTATTTTGATGCCAGAGAAGTAGTCTATCTCACAGTCCCTGAACAACATTTTCCCCCCACCGCCTTGCCCTCCCTCCAGTGCCCTAAACGAAGCAAATCTAGATTCCCTCAGGTCTGAATTTGCTATTTGACTGGGGTTCAATTTCAATTTAAATGGGTTTATTTGTTACAATCAAAATTATATATACTCATGCCAATAATGGTTGTCACCCCCTTCATTTTTTTTAATTGGAGAGGGTGTGTGGGGTGGGGGCTGTGATGTGGGTGTGGGGCTGGGGCTGGGGTGGGGGTGACAACCATTGTTGGCATGAGTATATAAGACCAGAGAGAGTCTACCAGGGAAGGTGCAGGCTGTTCGACTGACCCAAAGTCGAGTGTACACAGCATAATGAAATTTAAGTCGTTTTGAACCAATGCTTTGATCCATGTAAAAATATTTATGTCACACACACTACAAAGTTAGCACAACATGAGACCTGTTTGACTGAGGCTTATCTGCGTATCCTATTTGTTTAAAGCAACCACGTGAGTAGAATGCACGTAGAAGTAGGTGAGGTGAAATTGGGTTTAACGTCGTGCTTGAGAATATTTCGCTCATATGACGACGTGCATGCGTGTGTATGTGTATGTGTATGTGCGGTTGCTTGTACTAGCCCAGACTGAAGCTGGTTTTATAGTGCTAGCCCACTGAGATACCACGCCGCAGTGAAGCATGAATACCCCACTCAGACACATTATACTGACTCCGAGCCGACCAGTCCTTGTTGTACCCATTAATGCCGAGCGCCAGGCAGGGACCAACAAGTACAATATTTTAACGTCGTTTGGTATGACGCGGTCGGGGATCGAACCCGCGACCTTCCGCTCTCCGGGCGGACGCTCTAACCACTACACCACGGAGGCGGTCACGTAGAAGTAGAGTAATGAATGTTCGCATACAATGCGAATGAGTGTAGTGTAGGTCGAGCGAGTGAGTGAGTTAAGTTTTACGCCGCACTCAGCAATATTCCAGCTATTGTAGTGTAGGTCAACGGTATTGCAAACATATCTTTTGGGGGAACGGGAAGGCACTGCGGTTGAATGTGCCACATTGCGCTAGCAGAGTAACGTGCCCGTATTGTGGCACTATTCTATAATCGTTGGTTCGAATCCTCAAATCTACTTTATTAAGATCCTTAGTTTGTAGGCACAATGTGCATGCTTGTGGATTTCACCCAGTTGTAATTACGCCTAAGATCTGGAATTTCCTCTCATAGAAAGCGAAATATAACCGAAGATACTAGACCGATGGTTGGTATCAAAAAGCTATCTACTACGTCAGGGGACGATGATACAATCCATCAGTCAGTACCTCTCATTTGTTGTCGTTAACGAAACACATTTGGCACTGGCGATCTATTTGGCTAGAGAATCACCACGAGGGCCTTTTTCAGAGAGAGACATACTGCTTCGGGGCATGAAACGAGTGAGTGAGTTTAGTTTTACGCCGCACTCAGCAATAGTCCAGCTATATAGCGGCGGTCTATAAATAATCAAGTCTGGACCAGACAATCCAGGGATCAACAGCATGAACATCGAACTACGAATTGGGATACGATGACATGTGTTAACCCAGTCAGCGAGCCTGACCACCCGATCCCGTAAGTCGCCTCTTACGACAAGCATAGGTTACTGAAGATCAGTTCTAACCCGGACCTTCACGGGTCAGGACATGAAATGATTTATTGGAAAATCATATATATGTAGCTTGCGGAAATTCATATATACTTACTAGTGCATCAGTGAGAGAAAAATCACATTCCATGTGAGTCTGAGGTTTGGGTAATAGCGCAGTTTCAAAGAATGAAAGAAAAAATCCCAAGAAGTCCTTTATGCATGTGTCGCAATGTAAATTAGATGACAGTGACAATAGGGTGACACTATCCAGTTGTTTAGGCATTAAAAATGGTGTCAAATCGAGAATTTTCTTGCACAGGGAAACGTTTTCATATACAAAGAATGTATTATTTCTTTATCACTGAAAAACAACCAAAGTAAGATTTAGATATTTATTTAAATACGTTAGCCTGACACCACAAAGTCGTTATAACGTTAAAGTGGTTTATGATTAAATCCTACAAGATCGTTTACCCCATGATGATGCGTGTACCACATGTCGTTAGACTAAAACCATGCTTGTCGGAACAGGCGACTTTCAGGATCTGGTGGTCCGACACGCTGCTCTCAATTGCTTAGACCGTTGTTCATATGTGAATCCGGGCGGTGGGGTAGCCTAGTGGCTAAGGCGCTCGCTCGTGACGCCGAAGGTCCGGATTCGATTCTCATGGACACAACGTGTGAAGCCCATTTCTTGTGTCCCCCGTCGTGATATTGCTGGAATGTTGCTAAAAGCGGCGTAAAAGTCACTCACTCAAACTCACTCAGTCATATGTGAATCATGGATTGTCTGGTTCCGAATGGAACAATTACAAATCGTTTCATATAGATGACATACTGCTAAGAGCAGCGGTAAACATCAAACAAACAATCCAGAGGCATCGAACTATATTTTTAATGATATCAAACATGAAAATGTGTCATAGGTAGTTGCTTGAATGTTATGCAACCATTCAGTTTAATATTTAAAATGATTGGAAATTCTCAAACGAAATGTTTCCAAATACTCAGTCAAATATTGTTTTCCAGAAGATAGTCCTGTTTTACTGAGGTTTAGCTGCCCGCCATCCTTTTTCAGCTTCATTTTAAGTCTCTGCCGCAAGTTCCTCATTGATTGCTTGTAAGCTAAGTTCACATTCTCCGCTGGATCCACCTGATGATCATACAATTCCGCTGTCCTAATACTCCCAAACTTTGGTCTGCGGGAGTTGCGGGTTTTCCCAACGAACGGCACCCATTCTGTATACCTGTGCCTCTTGGTTCTCAGTGTATACCCCATCAAACCTTTGACTTGACTTGGATACTGGGAAAAAACGGCGTTCTTCAACTCTTGTTTGGGATTATCAACCAGTGGCAGGAAACTAGTACCTTCAGTACACAGTCGGACCTTTTTAGAATTTGGGGGGCATGTTTTAAGTTTTGGAATGCCCACAGCATTAACAAGCGTGGGAAACAGGTCTACAAACTCCACCAGCTCCTCTGAGACGATTCCACTGTCGGTCTTCCCTGGAATCCTAAGCATCATTGGCGCATGAGTCGACAGGTCAAAGTTGGTCTGTTTCTGCCACTCAGCGTGTTCACCCAACTGCCAACCATGGTCCCCCCAGAAAGCGATGACAGTATTCTTGGATAAACCTAGTCTATCAAGTTCACTGATAACACGACCAAGTTCGAAGTCTGTTGCGCTGACTGCACTGTAATATGCTTGACGTAGGCGTCGAGTTAGCATTGGGGAAAGGTGAAATTGAATGATCCAACCTTCTTCAGCTTATAAGCCTTAACGTCCTTAAAATTACCCATGTTCCTGTAACTGTGCCATGCGATATTAGACATATCAGGCGACGCATAATAATTATCCGGGATCGGAATGTCCTCTAGTGGGTAATATTTCAGAAATCTGTCTGGAAAGGTCCAAGGCATGTGAGGCTTTCGAAAGCCAACAGCAAGAAAAAATGGTTGCTTACCAGTTTTGGCCTTTTGCGCAGCATCACGTAATACAGCAATAGCCTGATCCGCTATCAAAGTATCTTGTAGAGGTTGTTTGTCTAACCGTTTTTGACTTACAGCATTCATCAACAGTTTGTCCTTCTTGTATTTATCCGGTGCATCCAAATAAGGATCCGTCCAGGACTTAGGGTCATTATTATTTGATGCTTTGCCACCATGGTATATTTTTCCGATTCCAATTGTTCTGTATCCATTCTCCTTGAAATACTGCGGGAGAGTGGTGAAGTTACCTCCTGAGGATCTCCAGTACGTTTTACAGTCGTACACCCGAGTCGTGTCTGGTCGTCTGCTGGTCAGAAGCGATGTCCTACTTGGTCCACACAAGGCTTGCTGGACATGTGCTTGTTTCAGAAGCAGACTTCTGCCTGCTAATCTGTCCAAATTAGGGGTGTGCATCTTCGGGCGTACAATGCCATCCGCCTGGCCGAAGGCTTCAATGTCCGAACGCATGTCGTCTGCTACCAGAAATAAGACATTTGGTTGTCCTGCTACACACTGGCACAGACATACCAAGAATATGAAACGTAACATTTCTTGAAGCTGTATAACTAAAGTAAGTTCAAGGACGATCGAAAATGTGCGTCGTCCTTCCACCTGAGGCAACAATGAAATGAAAGAGCCGGAGTGAACTGGACTGGAGTAAAGGTGTGGTGAATCACAGCTTGGATGTCTGTTTACGTCTGTCTGGATCGCCTAGCTGTACATTATCCTTGGGGGAAATGGGTGCAGGCATGGCGGTTGTGTTAGATCGGGATGTGTAATATATATGACTCACGAAATTTAGTCCACTCAGCACTTTAAACTATAAAAAAGAAACGAAGTATGTTTACAGACGACCATTGAGTATATTTACAGTGGTCGTGATAGAAATGTAAAACCAATGTACTCGCAAATTTATTAACCGAGTTCTTTGTGTTTGTCTTATGTTAGTGAAAGTGTGGTAGTGTTATTCATTTGTATAACAGTGTTGTGATTGTTTTACATTGTTTTTGCGTTTAACCCAGATTGTTACAGAAGATTCCAGAACAGAAACCCCTGGAAGCTCCATACAGCTTTTGTCTCGGTGATGTCACATTGCATCTTACATTACAAAACCAGTAATAGTGCGAAGATCACTGTCCACCCTGGTTTCCCAGCCTAGGCCTGTTTTAGAGGCTTGACCACAGAGCTTCCCTGAATCAAGTCGCTGAATCACGTATTGCTATTACCACTGCTTTTATCTAACATTGTCTATATATTTGTATTGCTATTGAATTTGGTCTACCACTCTATTTTGTACAGCCTTTGAACTCTGTAGTAGTCTGTAGTGATTTGTGTAAACTTAGGTATTTTAAGAATACAGATGTTAAGTGAATAACATTTGTATGTTATGTATACACAATGCCTTTTAGAAAGTGGACAAATGTAACATGTTATTTTTAGGACTACACTTTCTCAGTAAAGTACCGATTCTAGTAATCTGTACTTTACTGAGAAAGTGTTGTCCCAAATATTAACATTATATGTTTTATTTTTATGTGTTTTGTTGGATTTTGTTACAGATGTTTTTCTGGTTAACTGCACCAGCTAGGTCGAATCCTACCATGATTTCACTAAATTTAAAATGACCGCTTCTTACCGAGTGAAAAATGTTAAAAACGTGTTTTTCTTTATCTATGATGTATCATCAATGCATGTGCATTGTGAGTACCTGTTATCTAGTGTCTGTTGCGCTAACCTTAGACAATAGGCGTCAGGGCATGTGCTATATGTAGGATATCGCACAAGTTATGTATACAGGTCTCTATATCACATACGGCATGTAATCCGAGTATATAGTCAGGTCTTATTTTGAATACAGCATATAATCTCACAGAATATGTGAATTAGCCTTATACCATAAAGTTATCTATACAGGTTTACACAATATATACTGTATATATTGTCATGACAAAATCTGACACGGTATCTATACAAGTCATGTATCATATACAGGGCATATCTATACAAGTCTTATCTGATGTACATGACATAGTGCGTCAGATATCCATACAAGTATTATATCATATTCAGGACATATCTGTACACGTCTTGTCTCATGTGTACCAGACATACTCTGACAGATATCTGTACCAGTCATATATCATAGTCTTATACCACGTACATGAGTAAGTTAATACAATATTACACCGTTTTCAACAATATGTCATTAATTTGATTTTATATTGTACCTTCAAAAGGGAATCGAATCCGGACGTTTGGTGTGGCAAACGATCATGTTAACAACATAACTGTTCTTCACCCTTTTTCAGTGGAATGGTATGGTGCTGATTTCTAAAAGATTATCATCTTTTTCACCCTTAGCATACGACAACTGAATGTTTAATTTTGTCAAATCCTTTGTCAGAAAGTGGACACAGTGCGGAGACTTTCTTACGGAAGCGTAGTAGGGCCACGGTGAAATTTTTTTGGGGGGGTCACTATCTCCTACGTAGGACTTAGTATCTCCTACGTAGGACTTAGTATCTCCTACGTGGGACATACTATCTCCTAAGTAGGACTTAGTATCTCCTACGTAGGACATACTATCTCCTACGTAGGACTTACTATCTCCCACGTAGGACATACTATCTCCTACGTAGGATTTAGTATCTCCTACGTAGGACTTAATATCTCCTACGTAGGACTTAATATCTCCTACGTAGGACTTAATATCTCCTACATAGGACTTAGTATCTCCTACATAGGACTTAGTATCTCTTACGTAGGACTTACTATCTCCTACATAGGACTTAATATCTCCTACGTAGGACTTAATATCTCCTACGTAGGACTTAGTATCTCCTACGTAGAACTTAATGTATCCTTTTTAAGGATGGTTATTTAGTTCAGAAATGTTTGGCAGGACGTTAGATAGTCGAAATGTGAGTCAATGAATATTCATGACACTAACGCAGAGTTACTGTACAGTGTTATTGTGTGTGTAGTACGTTAGGGTGACGTGGACCCTGTTCTAATTGCAGTTATGGAGGTTTGGGTATGGTTATGTTTAATCTATCATACATACATCTATTCACACACACAAACACACACACACACACACACACACACAGAGGTGGGTGGGATGGTTGGGGTGAGGTTGTGATACGAAACTCGGGTTATAATACGACCTCCGCAAGTTGTTGCTTGTGTTGATGGGGCTAGGTTGGATCGGATGCAACGCTCGTTTGCGGTTTTATTCGTAATTGTTTACAGGTTGACTTGACTGGGGTGGCTAGTGTTGAGTGCGGCGTAAAACAATACGAAATTCAAAAAGGCAAAGAATTGTCATTATAGTTATAAATATAAGGGGATACGTACACATGGATTGCCACCTATAGTCTAAGACACGTCTGTACACGCAGATTATGATTCATGTGCAACGACCTCTGAAATATCCAATGCATAATAATAAAGTGTAACAAAGTGCAACATATAACAGTGAACTAACTGCAACGCGTAATAGTAGAGCAAACTGAACGCAAGGCAGTGAAGTATAACAGTCGGTCCAACACAGAACTAATGTGCAACAATTAGTTCACTCTAATAATGAAGGAAACAGTAGACTCTAATAGTAAATTGAAACACATGATAGTAGACTCTAACAGTACATGAAACACATAACTGTAGACTCTAATAGTGAATGAAACGAATGACTGTAGATTCTTACAGTGACTGAAACAGTGAAACAGGAGATTGTGTGCGTGTCTGGGGCTTTAAGTCGACCGTTTCAGATTAATCTATATAAACGTATATCGATCATCTCCTACAGGAAATATTAAATACTACGTAGGAGATACTATGTCCTACGTAGGAGATACTAAGTCCTACGTAGGAGATACTAAGTCCTACGTAGGAGATATTAAGTCCTACGTAGGAGATACTAAGTCCTACGTAGGAGATATTAAGTACTACGTAGGAGATAGTAAGACCAAAAACTTTTTTCACCCTGGCCCTACTACGCTTCCGTAGTTTCTGGACTTTTGCGTGTCCAATTACATTGTGACGTGTTATATCTGAACTTTGACAAGGCAGTTGTTTCCTCTGGTCCAGATTTCCGCGAGGGCATTATAGCGGCTACAGTGTCAGACATTGTTCAAACTACTGTGGCTAACGAATGTGAAATAAATGTTTCCATCATGTATGTCAAGAGCAACAGTAGCAGTAACCCCAGATGCATAGAACAAGTCCCAATCGTGAGTCGTACTCTACACGTGACATAAAGGTACCTGTAAACCCTTACCGGTCAACACTGTACTCTAGACATAACAGACACTTGGTTACACCCTCTCAATGTACGTTGTGTACTTGTTCGTCTTGGTTTGAACTGACAAGTGTTTACAAACCTGCCTGTCTCAGTACAGACTTTATACAAATATCTGACACCTGTCTTTTGATATGGCTGTACCATTCAGCACTCTTCAAATAAATCCAAACACTCAGGACAGCCCCGGCCCCATAAATTGTCCTAAAACGTCCTGATCAAACAGTCAGCACATGGCAAGCACAATGCCTGCTGTGATGCCCCGTGTCACATGACTGCAATGCTGACGGTTGGTGAATGTAGGTTCAAAGGGTGGGTATATCTTCGGGGCAGTAACTGCCCTTAATTCACGTATTATCTGTGGCTGACATCCTGTAACCTTCAACAGCTGCCCGCTTCCAACAACAAATTATCAAGCGTTCTCTGCCAGAACTTTCCTGTGCTCCGAAACTTTCATATACTAGTAGGAGAGGATACACATACCATAAATTGTCCGCAAACTTAATACGCGATTGAGTGAGTGGGTGAGTGGAGGAAGGGTGGGTGGATGGGTGTGGGAGTGAGTGAGTGGATGGTGGGTGAGAGAATGGGCTGTGAATGGGTGAGTTTGTGGTTCGATGGATGGGTGAATGAGTATATTGATTGCTCAATATAAAGTGAGTGTATTGATTGGTGGCTCTGTGAGTGTGGATGGGTTAGTGATTGTATGGTTTGGTGGATAGTTGTGTATAGGTTTTGGTTGATGAGTGATTGGATGGTTCGATGGATGGTTGTGTATAGGTGTGGATTGGTGAGTGATTGGATGATTTGGTGGGTGGTTGTGCATAGGTGTGGGTTGGTGAGTGATTGGATGGTTCCATGGATGGTTGTGTACAGGTGTGGATTGGTGAGTGATTGGATGCTTCGATGGATGGTTGTGTATAGGTGTGGGGTGAGTGATTGGATGGTTTGGTGGGCGGTTGAATATGGGTGTGGGTTGATGAGTGATTGGATGGTTCGATGGATGGTTGTGTATAGGTGTGGGGTGAGTGATTGGATGGTTTGGTGGATGGTTGTGTATAGGTGTCGGGTTAGTGATTGGATGGTTTCGTGGATGGTTGTGTATAGGTGTGGGTTGAGTGATTGGGTGGTTATATGGATGGTTGTGTATAGGTATGGGGTGACTGAT